GGGGGAGCTGAGTGTACATGTCTGCTGTGTGGGGGAGCTGAGTGTACATGTCTACTGTGTGGGGGAGCTGAGTGTACATGTCTACTGTGTGGGGGAGCTGAGTGTACATGTCTACTGTGTGGGGGAGCTGAGTGTACATGTCTGCTGTGTGGGGGAGCTGAGTGTACATGTCTACTGTGTGGGGGAGCTGAGTGTACATGTCTACTGTGTGGGGGAGCTGAGTGTACATGTCTACTGTGTGGGGGAGCTGAGTGTACATGTCTACTGTGTGGGGGAGCTGAGTGTACATGTCTACTGTGTGGGGGAGCTGGGTGTGCATGTCTGCTGTGGGGGAGCTGAGTTTGCATGTCTACTGTGAGGAGGTGGGTACACAGGCCTACTGTGGGTTGATGTGGGATATATGCCTACTTGTTTTGATGTGTGGGTTTCATGGCTCCCGTGGGAAGTTGTGGAATACCTGTCTGCTGGTTAGGAGAGGGTATACTTGCCTGCAGGGAAAGATGGTTATTCATGCCTAGTGTAGGGAGATGAGTATTCATACCTGCTTTGGGTAGATGCATGTATCCATGCATCCTGTGCGGAGATGTGTATCCATGCCTACTGTGTGGGAGATGGGCATTCATATCTGCCATGGGGTCGTGGGCATACATGCCTGCTTTGGGGATGTGGGTGGTCATTTCTACTGTAGGGAGATGGGTATCCATGCCTGCTGTCAGGAGATGGATATACTGTACATGTCTGCTGTAGAAAGATGGGTATACATGCCTACTATGGACAGATAGGTAGTCATGCATGCAATGGGAGATGGGTATGTACATGCCTGCAATGGGGAATGTTTATAATGAATACTAATTGAACTAAAGGTCACAGATTTTAATTTAGTCACAAGTGAGTTGGTTACATAAGAAAATACTACTATAGCATAAGGGGGAAACAGAATGAATTACATTTGGCAGTACTGTAGTAAAAGCCAATTACATCCACAATTTTAAAAGCAGATGTAATGGGAGACATATGGATTTGGACCAGCCATGTAAGAAATATTGACGGAACAACAATTAAGCATTCACTAGAACATGACAAGCTCCTTCAGGAGTTACCCGAGTCATGGGGGTTCTGATAACACTGTCGGTGTGTGTGTACAGCAAGCGCACACAGCTTTACTGACAAGGCCAGGGATCCCTGGAGGACGAGATGACAATTAGTCATATATACTAGGCTAGAAACAGTTTTTCCCAGTAACCAGAGAGCTTAAGTTACTATAACATGGCAGTGACAGTCTATATGGCTCATACCAAGTTTATAAGCTGTAAAATACCTGCACATAATAAAGTACAGACAAAAAATACTAACAAAATGCTTTGGAGTAATAAAGCTGGTACTGAATAATTTATGCTGTATTAGTTTTGAAGTTTGGTGTCATTGGCATTTAGCATGTACAATAGGCTAGTTTTTGTTTAGTGCCGCCTGCTTCAGCCAGGCATGATCAAATACCTCCATTGGTAAGGTTGAGTAAAGTTGAGTGTCGAGTTCTTTTGTGCCCTTGGTATTTTAATTTCATATTTTTTTGGTTTTGTTTATACTTCTCTTAATGCAGCTAGTGTACTCACCATGTTTCCATCACCATCACTTATTCTAGCTAGTGTGCCCCGCATTGTAAATATGGTATTTCAGTTATGGAGTAATAAGTATTCCCATTAGGAATACCAAACTAAGACTGTAATCTTTTCCAAATTGTGTCGAGGCCACCTTGCTGAAATTTGCTACACATGGAAAAATAGGGGGATTAGTAAATGCTTTTCCTGTTGCTATTTATGTTACGAAAATTTAAACATTCACATGTACATATATAGTACATGTAGCACTTGAATAAGCCTCTTGTAAGCATATAATAAATTTCACAATCTTTCACAGACACTTGGAGTAAACTTATCCATTGCTAGATCAATAATAAGTCATCACAAAATCTTGTATAGCCATGATCTGGCCACTGATTGAAACTAGAGTTAGTCACATAATCAGATAATTCACTTCTGTGATTTACAGAGCTTGATAATACGTACCTTGTACCATACCCATGAGATAACCTGAACAAGGAGCCGATATGCGGTATCCATAACAAACTCTTCCAGATAGCTGACTCAGCAGCAGGCACCAACTAAGGAAACAAAACAACTGAAAAACATAAGAACGTTCACTTTTGCAAACAGAGTTGTAGATGGAGCAAGTTAAACGAGAAGGTTATCTTGAGATCATTTCGGGTGTCCCCGCGGCCCGGTCCTTGGCCAGGCTTTCTTTTTGTTACACATCCCCAGGAAGCAGCCTGTAGCAGCTGTCTAACTCCCAGGTACCTATTTACTGCTTGGGGGACAGGGGCATTAAGTGATAGGAAACGCACTCAACAATTTCTGTCCTGCCCGGGATTCGAACCCAGAATTCTCAATTGTGAGTCGAAATGAACCCAACTGTACTACTGGGATCCTAAACTTATGATGTTGATTATTCACATGTTTCACTCACAGATCTTCTTATGGTAGTAACTAATTAATACTGCATTTTTGGATGTGTCCTAATAAGACATTTTTATAATATTTAATGTACCTGTTATTAATGTACAGTACAGTATTTGCAATAATATTTAAAATAAACAAATTTAATCATAAATGGCTTTTCCTAGTAGATATACAGTATTGCATAACACTCGCCTTAAAATCCCTCATTCCTGCAGGTGTTGCTCATGCTAACATCTTTTATAATTTAATCTCAATCTTGTACACCTCATGCTAACAGCACAAAGATGTTGATATACACTTTCCTGCAAGTTTTTATTGGGCTATGGATGCTCCTTATTCAAGTTGGCCTTGCACTTTAGTTGTCAGTACTGTTATGATCTTCTAGTATTTCCTTGTACCCTTTTGTGCCATCTTGACATTTCTCATAACCTTTAGCCTTTTCTACAGGGTCTTAAGTGTACTCTAGCTTCACTCTTATGTTTGCATCACTGTGAACATTTCCCATCAAGTTGTTGTATCATTGTCAGTAGTAAATCTGACTACATAGTTTCAAAAAGAAACTTTTATATGGGTCATGGATCGTGTTGCATTATTGTGTTTGTACCGTACAGGAGCATACAAAGGCCTGGATGCGAATGCCTTTACCCTAGCAGTTTTGTGGTGTGTAAGAGGTCAAACATTGTAATATTGTACCTTTGTAATTCTTACTGTCTGAAATCAATTTTTCTCCTGATGGGTTAGAACTTGATGTACAATACATATTACCTCTTTTTATATCTTTTATAACTAATAGTGTAACTATTAAAAATGGAGAATCTCTTGTGTGCCGTTCGGCCGAGCGGACAGCACGCGGGACTTGTGATCCTATGGTCCTGGGTTCGATCCCAGGCGCCGGCGAGAAACAATGGGCAGAGTTTCTTTCACCCTATGCTCCTGTTACCTAGCAGTAAATAGGTACCTGGGTGTTAGTCAGCTGTCACGGGCTGCTTCCTGGGGGTGGAGGCCTGGTCGAGGACCGGGCCGCGGGGACACTAAAAAGCCCCGAAATCATCTCAAGATAACTCAAGATAACTCAAGATAACTATGTGTAAGTTTAAATATGGTTTACTAAAATATTTTTGTGGAGTTGAGCATGAGCTTCTAAGCATCACATTTTGAACTGTTAGTTTGATGAAATAACTTCTCATTTTCTTATCATGTTTACATTTAAAATTGTGTTAAAGCTTGAACTACGGTACTCGTGTATCTCTCAAGCAATAGGGGCCGGTGTGCCTATTACTTGTGGAAGATTTAATGTACCCCGTAATATTTTACAGTCCTAAAGATCCTGTGTGGATGTCATTCAACACTATAGACCTCTGGCATTTGTTTGCCATATTAGTTGTCTTCCTGGGAATTAATTAATGAAGGAAATTGGCGCCATGTCAGGTTTATCACCATCCATTTACCGATGCCCATGCTAAGAACCATTGGCAACATGCAAAATTTAAAGGATATATACGGAATTGGAAGATACAAATACTTAACTTGAAAATTAAATCTGAGAATTTTATATTTTGAACTTTTCTTTATCTCACTATGCCCAAATTAAAATTATTATAAAAAAATTTCCGCCATTAGAGAGTAATGTTTTATGATATAGAAAGGATAAATAATTTTTTGTATTGTTTGTATGTGCTACTGTATATGAAGAAATTGACCAAATTTAAGGTTCTCAATTTGAGAGTTAAGTAAGACTAATAGGTAAAGTGCAGGGGGGTAAATAACTGGAGGTTATTGTATTCCCAAAGATAAGTAAGAAAATGCACACAGTGCACACACAGTGCACACACAGTGCACACACACACACACCCTCTTCACACTGGTGACCTATGCCTCTGACCTTTCCTGGCAGTCAAGGTTGTTCTCTTATTTTTTTTTCCCCCTCAAGACTGTTGCAATACAATGGTGTAGTTTCCTTCAGTGCTCCTATCATGGGTGGCATCAACCTTGGCAGGTTGAAGGGTTTTCTTAAGTACTGTACTGAGTTTACCCATACTTCTCCTATTATGAAATATTCAACAACCACATATAGTTGATGGTGGTGATGATATGTTTAGTGGTTATTCCTTAACATGACACTAGTCATTTCTTAAGAATATATTTTCCTACTATACTATAGTACTGGTCTAATTACCATTTTGTAAAAGTACTTTATAAATGCTATAAATATGTGGTCATATTTAATTTGGAATATTAGTATTGCAAGAAGTTATAATACTGTATTTTTGGCAGGCTTCTAATAATTACTGAATGTATTACTAATGTTTGATAATTCAAGGTTTTTTTGTATCATTATAAGCTTAAGATTTAACATGTTTTATGTATTGTACTAGTATGTTACTGATAAGTGTATTATGACCATGAATTTAAAATAGTAAATGAATGATTGGGTATATACAGTAGTACAAGATTCGATATCTATTTAAGTGATCTGTGTCTTTCCAGGTTGTATCTGGCCAGCTGGTGTACCTCACACTGCGGGTAGGGGAGACCAAGTGCCCGATAGGAACCCCAGACCTCCACGTTTGTGCTTTTGATCCAACAGAGGACACACACATTTGTGAAATTGTTGTGTGGGAGAGGCCATGGCTCAATATCTCAAAGGTTATTGATGAAAAGTCCAGGTGGGTTTGTTTACATAAGAGTTGACAATTGTGTGCAGCTGATGTTTAAAGTCTATAAATTACGAAGACGCATAACTTTGAGTCTTCATATTAAAAGTTCTGGAGTGTTTCTGAACATATTTTGGGCAATAAGAAAATAGTTGAAGGAAATACTAATATTTCATTTTATTTTATTATTTCATGTATTCATTTATGTAAAAGAAATGCTACTGATGCTTGTACAGAATATATATACTGTACCGTACATAACTCGGTTTGATATATGCAAAAGTTATATATATATATATATAGTATACTGAGCAATTTAGGTCATCCTAGGCATTCCTTTAAATTTGATTGAGTTCGTCCAATAATTATTCTCACTTGAAATTCTGAAAGAACTACTTGGCAATTACAGGTGTGCCGAAACAGAAGACGACAATGACTTTAATAGTTGGGGATCATTCAGTCATCTTACGTCTTCACACTCAGAAGTTCCCGTGCAGGTCTTGCCTGATGGCATTAACGAACAGCAGCTGGGCATTGAGGCATTTAATTACATAGATCGTGGTTCAGAGTCCAAGTTCAGAGGAGAGATGATTACTTTTGACTTGGGCAACATATTGGTGAGTGAGTTTGGTTTCAGTATGGCATCACCATGTCAATTGACATTTGCTCTGCATAATAAATTTGTTAATGGAATCATGCTGATAGATTAGGGTGAGTGTCTTTGAATAAACAGTATTTTTCTTGTATGGCTGAAATTTTTGTGCTTGTCATTATGTATCATAATATATCCGGTTCCTGTGCATGCATTGCAGTATATGTATGTATATTCTATTTCTTTAAGAATGAAAAATAAAATAGATAAAACGCTTTTTAGGGGTCACTACATTGATTTAACACTTCAATATTATACAGTAAATGTTTTCTTTCAGTTTGACCAAGTGACAAATACAACAAAAGTTCAAGTGAATGTGGAATATGGCTTCAAACTCTGCTTGAGGTCTGTTGACGAGAAGACCGATCCCAGGGTGTGCCCTCGGGATGGTCAGCGTGATCACTACATCTGTTCTGTTGTTGTTGTTCACAACCCCAACCAGATTTCTCGTCTTGAGGTGGTTCCAATCCTTGAGGATGATGATGACATTCATTGTGAGAAGAAGGTACAGTTTGTAACTCTGATTTCTGACTAGACTCTTATTCTAAAGTTTTAAAAGTGGAGGACCTCCATTAATTTATTAATTAAACTGAATAAGCTTAACACTTATCAAATTTGTTTTTGTATTGTTACTGCTACAGTATTATTATTTTTATAATAATCATTATTATTATTATTATAATTTTGAGGTGTTAATTTATATATACAGTATTTATTTTGCATAGATCGTCTCCAAGTATCCATACAGTGATATGCCGATTGCAGTGGCATATTTATGTAGTCTGTAAAACTTGTTTAATATTGTATTATCTTTTCCTCGCATTAGTTATCTGAGCTGTGTCTACAACTTTGAGCACAGTTGTGCTCAAAGTTTTCTTAAAATATATGTTGAACTGTACTGTATGTAAAATGATAATTCAGTAATTTTTCCAAGACTTATTAATTGCAATACTTTACTCATTGTTTGTAGAAGCAATTATGTATCAATCAGTCAGTTCATGAGTTTGGGCTGCATCGGTGTTCTACACATGTCACTCAGTAGGCCCTAGTGTCTGCTCCACTTAAAGGTTGACTGTATTGTACCAAAGAGCTTTTGTGCATTTTAGCGGAGTGTAGATGAGGAGTTGGTCGTTCCTGTGCAAGCACCGTGCCTGGGGTGTCCACAACCAGCCCCGCTTAATGATCCCACCATCCTAGAAATTGCAGACTTCGCTCTTAAGGAGTATGACAGGACTGCCGACGATGAGGATCTCCACCTTGTTCTGCGTCTCATCAAGGCCCAAACTCAGGTAAATATTATTTGACAGATTTTTTGCCGCTACTGTACTTTAAGAATGCTTGTGATGCCAATAAAAATTGTATTTTATATATTTTAACAATCGTTAACTTTTATTAATTGTGTTGTGCTAATTGCTTTAAATATAATTTTGACCTTCAAGAACTCGCATTAATTTCAGTAATTCATATAAATGTTATATATTTAGGCAGTTTGCAAATTTTCTAAATGTGTCACTTGGCAAATGCAAATACCTTTAGGCATATTTTGATAATTTTCATAGGTAAAATATGGCAAGTGCTCAATTGGTGACATGATGCATTTTTATAAACATTATGCAAATTGAACTTAAGGTTATAAGTGAAAGCTAGAAATACTTTCCAGATACAGAACATTCAAGAATTTCTCTTTCTAGGAGAGCCCCATGGTAGCTCCCTGTAGCTCTCTCATTGAGATTGCACCATTATATGAGTCATGTCAGTTGTACGAGTTCTGTTTGGTCTATCACGGACCAGAGCCAGAACCTGGCTCTCCCTCTTCACATGAGACAGAGAGCAAATGACATTGTTATTTCAATGGGAAACATCCAGAGAGTCGGTGAAGAGTTCGAGAGAGGAGTATGACCCTTACCAACCCAAGGGCAAGAGCCAGTAAAAACACCACATTAGAAAAGGTATCCCAGACCAAATGGGCAGACATGAACCTAGGGGAGGAGAGACAATCAGGGATCATGTTCAGAGACCTAGAGAGCTCAGGAGAATCATGAGCAGGCCGGAGGGGAAAAAGCACCCCGAAAGAACTTGTGGGATGAAGCCGCAAAAGAATCGACATTAAAAGACAACAGTAGCAGCTCCACCAACACTGCATGATAAAAGGAGATAGAATTAAGTACGAGATATCGATCAAGAAACGACCACAAAAGAAAAGATAAAACCACATGAACCAAAACTGAAAGACATTGGAGACAGAAAAAAGTGAAACGAGTGCCAAGGTATTTCATATTGCCACCTGGAAGACAAACACAGGTGGGAAATCAATAACTCGGCAACACACAGGCCACCTGTGTCAAAGTCCAAATGTGAAGAGATGTGGAGAAGGTCAAACCAGCAAGGTACCTTGCTGGACCGGTCCTCTGAAAAAGGCAGAGCCACGAAAAATGCAGGGTTCGGACCCCAGGCTAGAGAAGAGCCGGAAACCAAGGCTGAGCCAGCCACAAAGGAACCAGAAGGATCACCCCTCCCTGAAAATGACTCCAGTTTGGAAATAACCTGGAGCAACAACTGAACCAGGAGAAAAATGTAAATGCACCCCCACCTTGACCAATACAGCCGAAAAGCATCCACCATGAGAGCCCACAATCAGGAAATGTAGACATGTAGGAAGAAAGGCGCGGTTCCATGCCAACGTGAAAAGATCCATCTTGGGGCAGCTGAACATCTTGCAGAGCCACTGGAAGGACACATCGTTGATGGTCCATTCCATGGAGATGGGATGGAATCAAGATAAACCATCCATGAGAATGTTGGAAACACACCACAAGTGGACTGCAGAGATAGCCAAACCCTGAGAACTCGGAACTCAAGCCACCTGCAGCATCCAGCACTACAGGGAATAAGACCAAAGAGACTCCCCATGGTTTGGGCAATTCACCACCGAGGAGCTCTCGTGGCGGTTTTTTCTAATATGTTTTGGGTGAATATTTGGGCTTGGGGTTTTTGGCAAGCTAACAGTCATGGCAGCCAGGTATTTAGTCAATGTCCCTGGCCCTCTTTGATCCTGTGTTGCCATGGGCCATGTTTCCTGGCTGTTAGTCTTTACTTTGACTTGGTGCCTGCTGCCTTTTCTCCTCTCTGGGAAGTTCCTTCATTTTTCTTTGTAGTTATTTGGCTACGGGGAGCCACTATGGGGCTTTCCCAGAAAAATAGCATCGATTGTAATGAAACATGTCTTTCTGGTAGAGGCCTGTGGGGCTCCCTGTCTCCCTCCCTTCCATGTTAATCAGTTTGTTGTGGTACTGTCAGATTCTAGTTAGTTTTTGTGTTATGCTTATTTTGAATCATTTGGCAGTTTCTCAGTATCGAATCTTGTGAACCCAGCAGTTGTTTGTAAAGATTTGCTGACTTTCTGGGTGCTTTCCAAATGAAATGACAGAATGTCATTTGTTTACTGTGTCTCATGTGAAGGGGAGGAGGTGCAGGTTCTGGCTCTAGTCCCCGATAGGCCAAACAGAAATAATGCAGCTGATGTATCTTGAGGTTATCTTGAGATGATTTCAGGGCTTAGCGTCTCCGTGGCCCGGTCCTCGACCAGGCCTCCTTTTTGTTACACACACCCAGGAAGCAGCCCATAGCAGCTGTCTAACTCCCAGGTACCTACTTACTGCTAGGTGAACAGCTGCATCAGGGTGAATGAAACCCTACCCATTTCTTTCCACCTCCGCTGGGGATCAAACCCGAAACCTTAGGACTACGAATCTCGAGCGCTATTCACTCAGCCATCGGGCGCCTACAAGATATGTAACTTGTAGAATGCAACAATCTCGTTGATTTAGCTACAGGAAGCCAACTGGGCTCAACCAGAAAAAGGAGTTTCATTACATTGAATGCTGGGTTATCCTTCATTCTCTTAAAACATTAAAGGCAGTCAGAGGCTTGATTCATATTGACTTGTATAAGAATGAAGTCCAAAAAATACACAAAACAAGATAATTACTGTACTTTGAATTGTACAGTCAGAGAATGAGAGGTTGTGCATGCTGGAAGACATTTTTGAGACATAAGAGAGCGGAGCGGGATAATGCAGTGCAGCAAAATTGCATGTTGCATGATATAAACATTGTCTCCAAACTTGCATTGTGTTAACTATGAAAAATCAAGCTTTTACTGGTACCTGTACATATATTAATTTTTTCTTTTAATCAAATTATAGATATATGCAGAAATGTTCCGAAAAGTTTATTATCTTATGTTATTGTAGGTGGTTGCTGGCCTCAAGTACTACCTCACTGTTGAGCTGGCAGAGACAGACTGCAAAAAGACTTTAACGGGTGTTGATGTCAACCGAACTTTCTGTCGGCTGGATAGCAACGAGGAAACCAAGATCTGTGACTTGCACGTAGTTGACCAGCCTTGGATACCTGCCCGAGATCTTGTTGCAGCACAGTAGGTTCTTTGTACTGTTGCAGATTTTGCTTTGTGTTTTGTATTGTAATTGATATTTAATGGATGAGTGAATTCAGCTGTCACATGCCCTTGGGTTTTGTTACAGAGGAATCACATGTCGTCATCATAAGCCTTCACCACCCCGTTTCTCACCTTCAAGGGCTCGGATAGTGCTCATCTTGGTAAAATTAATGTCTCGGCATTGCATTGCGACAGTATTGGGGTCTTGAAACAATATATCCGGACCCAATAATAAGTTGAAATAACATTCAAATTTAACACACATTAATGTACTGTATTTTGATTTTATCATTTTTATTTTTGCATTATACTTTTACAAATGTAGTTTACTAGCTAGTCATCAATAGTAATTGCATGAGAAGAACATACAGTATCTGCAAATAAGAAGTATGGTTGCTTCAAGTATAAGAGCCAGCCAAGTGATGCCAACATGCTCATGTCTTCTATTGTACAAATCCACAAGGGCCGTGACGAGGATTCGAACCTGCGTCCGGGATTCTATTCTGCGTCTTCTATTGTATCTCCTTTTTAGTGTGTTTGAAAGCTTTTTCTCACTGTGCAAATCTTGGACAGTTATTTTATTATAAAATAGTCAATTAGAAATATTTAAAATTTGTGATTATATTAGACAATTTCTATATTCTGTTTTATTGTTTTTGCAGATGCTATGACAAGGATGATTATCCAGCCTCAAGCCAAGATGAATTTATTGTTCCGATTGCCCTTGGAACTGGCCTCGGCTCCATACCTCATGGGTCAACACCTGCATCTGCATCCCGCCCCTCACTGTTGGGAGGCCATAGACCTCTGGAGATTGACGCTCAGACATTGGAAGTTGTCAAGATGGTTGTGGATGAATATAACAGACGGGAAGATGATTCTGAATATTACAAGTTGGTTAAGGTTCTTGAAGCATCCTCACAGGTTAGAATTTTGGGCCATTTATAGTACAGTACAACCTCAATAACAAAAATTTCTAAAATACAAATACAATATATTATTTTGAATATTTACAATTAAAAAACATGCTTTGGAAAATAAGAAAAAAATACAATTTGATGAAACTGTTTTAAGTGATGAACTAAGATCTGTATATCACTGTGCCCCCCACTGGAATCCAGATTTTGTTTTTAGTAATCCAAATTCCAGAGGGGGAAATCCAGTGGGCAGATTTGGTTTGTGTTTAAAGGGATCCATAATAAGGATGCTCAGATTTGGGAGGATGCACTGTATATACAGTATTAATAAGCTCATTGTATTGCATATGATTATTCTGTGACTATATAAAATCAGTCGATACAAGATTAAACGTAAATAATTATGTGAGTGTATAATATGGATTATGTTGTCTAATGTGAGTGTTGATGTAGGTGGTGTCGGGGAAGAAGTACACCCTGGTGGTGGAGTTGGCAGAGACCAACTGTCACAAGTTTGACCCGGCACTTGGCAACGGAGAACACTGCTTGTTCCACCCTACCGAGGACCATGAGGTGAGATCTGTAAGCTTGCTTCCCTCCCTGATTAGCATGTAGTCCAGAGCCAGAACTTGATTGGATGAGATTTAATTCTCCTTACTGTGTGCTGTTTTTGTATCCATGAATCTGCTGGCGATATTTTTTTCCTTTTCAAGTTCTTTCTTTTAGCAGTTGAAGTCTTGAATTGTTTTACAAGATCATTTACCTGCAGCAGATGTCTTCTGTATGGTATATTTTCTTTTAATGCTTTGACAACAGTAGTCACATTCTTTTTAAATCTTACTATGATTAAGAATCCAGGATATTGTCAAAATCTTTACAAATGATTAGCTTTCTAAGCATGTAAACTAATCCTTTTTCACTAATACAAGAATATGATTATTTTCTTTGTTCCAAACTTAAGTGTCACCAAGAAACATAGTTTCTCTTTTGGGAAAAATGTATAATTGTTAGATTTAAGATTAAGACTAAGATTAAAAATATTATTTTTGAATTCTAACAAAAAAGTTTTTGGTAGGTGTGTAAGGCTGAGGTCCATGAACAGGCGTGGCTTCAGACATCTGATTACCGCAAGATTGTGTCCTTCACCTGTGACGACCTCGATGATTACTTAGAACAGGTATGGATAGTAATTTCTAACGATTCCTCCTCCTCCCCATCGTTCCCTATATTTTAAGTGATACTCGGAAAATGTTTGTACTTGTCTCAGTATTGCAAGCATTCTTCTCCACATATATCATCTAACTTTATTTGTTTTTTAGTTTATTTTAATGCCAATGTGTGTGGGTTCTGATGCTTCTTGATGACATTCATATTTTTGTTTCATATTTCAGTAAGTAATCTTTGTAGTGGTTATATTAATTAATGCAACTATGGTACACCTCTCTGTTGATATTACAAGACTTGTGTGCTCTTGTCAAACATTTCCTCCCTCTTTACCTTCAACAACCTGTGCTACTTGTTGACTTTACTTCACTTAGGTATAGGCAGACATTTGTATTTTTTTTTTTTCAACTTTTTGGGTATAAAATTCATAGTGAATCTTATTAATTCATATTATCACCATTGACTTTGTTCTAAAACATCTGTGATAATTTGTTTACAGTGTTTATAAGGTTCTTTATTACTCTTTTATAAGTGTTTTCTCTCATGCATTTACTTGTCCATCTACTTGGTACTGGTTGTGGTCTATGGTCATACTGGCTTAGCACACCTTCCTGATAATTACCTTGCCTCACTGTCGTGCACTTTTCTTGTATTATAGCTTGGCGTGTATAGTTACACTTTTGTATTTTTGTGTTTCAGAGACTCATGCCAACCCTTGATTCTTTTGACTTCACGGACCATCCCTTCCTGGATGCTGCACAAGACAAGAATGCCGGCTTCCAAACTATCCCCAAAAATGACTCCACTGTGCAGGAAGTTGCTGCTTTTGTTACTGAACAGTATAACCTCCGAGGAGACGAAGATGATTTGTACGCCTTGACACGGGTCATTAGTTCTTACCAGCAGGTGAGTTCTATAAAGTTACAGGATCTTAACTTACTGGACTGTTAGCAGATACCTCATTGACTGATGAAAGATGACTTAACCTCTGTTAAATATGGAGTTTAATATTACCTGTATTAAACTATTACCTGAACTGTTTTACCTGAACTATTTTGTTCAGTTATATGATGTTAGATGAGAATATTTGTCATTGATTACATGCACTATTTTTTTTTATTTTCCAAATAAAGTTAGTTCCTTCTGTGCCTATAAGTTACTTAGCTTACTGGGAGTTAACTTGCCCCTCATTAACTCTTAAACTGCGCAAATTTATATATACAGTATACGATTTTGGTATAAGTGGCAGAATGGCACACATTGTATGTATATATTTTAAAGTACCGCACTGATTTAAAAGTCCCGCGGCTACACAGGGTTCACAATAGCCTCCTCAGGGCTCTAGTAAACAGATGCCATTTACAAAAAATCGTGGGTAAGATTCCCGGGTGCAAGAACACCTTGGAATGTTACCCAGGAATAATCTCTCACCCGGAAGCGATTATTAACCCGTTAAAGGGTTAATGATATTTCCTTGGCGCCAGCATTGGCACCAAATTGTAAAATGCTGATAAAGGCTATTGAAAAAGTGAACTCTAGGCATATAGGCGCAGTTAGAGTAAAATGATTTCAATCACATGTAACAGGAGATGCTGTATATTTTGCTAGGTATGTGGATTTCCTTATGGATTATTCTTTATATAAGTTTATAACTTTAATACATCTTCATATTAATTCTTCTATTTAATATATTCCAAGGCTGTATCAGGTGGTGTGAATTATCACTTGGAAATTGAATTGGCTGAGACTCGCTGCAAGAAATATCTGCCAGTTGCTGATCCAGGCCGCTGCCCACTTGACCATGGTGAAGAGAGGGAAGTTTGCCAAGCTGAGATCCATATCCCTCAAGGACCTGGTGGTAACAGGCAACTTGTCAAACTCTATTGTGATGAAATTAGCGACTACTTCACTAGAAAGATTCAAGGTGTGTATTTACTCTTTATAGTGTGAATGTGTGAGCAAGATGGAAGGTTGTGTTAATGAATGTGGAAAGGTATTCATCACTGTCTGTTGAAGTTGCACGGTCTTGTGTATTCAGATAGAGGAGTCGTGTACTAGCCAACTCGTATCTCTTTTAACATTGTACTTCAAGGCTTCATTTAATGTACTTATTTAATATTGGTATTAGAAATTGCTTTCATAAATTGACTTCAAATACATCTTCCATAAAAATTTTCTTCAAAATTCATGCATACAGTAACAATATTTATTCTATTTTTGTCTGTTGGGTGTTGTACAAGTAGGGAAACTCTAGAGATAAAACAGTATAAATGGAAAATCTGAGATGTATATGTGGTATTAGGAGGATAGAGTAAGGAATAAAATGTTTAAGGAAAGAGTACAAAGGTCAGTAAGTTATAAGATTGAGAAGAGAGAGTATTGCTATGGTTTGGTCATATTTAACAAATGGTTTATGATTAACAAGTATGTACTTAAGGTTAGGAAAGGAAGAGGGAGGCAGGGAATTTGATGAATGGATATGGTATGGGAGAAAGCGGGGCTTGAATGTGAAAAATTTATTTGATATTGTTGGGGACAAGGATATGTGTAGTGGCAGTTAGTGAGGAGGGAGTGATTGTGTTTGTACTGTAATTTAACAACTTGTTACCAGTAGTTGTGGGGATAGGGATGTGGATGATTTGTTAGTAATTACCTTTGTAATTACCCAAGTGTAGTTACAGGATAAGAGCTACGCTCATGGTGTCCCGTCTTTCCAGTACTCTTTGTCATATAACTCTTTGAAACAACAGACTAGTGTGTGGAGGGGGTGTGTTTCTCTGTGAAGCGATATTGTATAATTATTTTTTTCTCTGGGCTGATATCTTTTCACCATATGAAAGTGAATAATTGGGTAATAATATGGATAAGGGGAGGAAGGACAAAAAAGGTGGGCAGACATACATAGTGTGTGAGAAAGCAGGTATTGGGTCGAAACTAATGACACAAGGCATGTGCAAGGCTAGATGGGTGTGGTATAAGAGAAGTGAATGTTAGACATGTTATGCAAGGCATGACAGCTTTGTTTTAAATAACTTCAGCCTCCTCCTTCCTCTCTACTCTCATATCTTCACCTGGCAAGTGCCTCTTTCCCCATCCCATAAAGGTGGGAATGGGGTAATGTTGATTATGACGATGTTAATGATAATTTCAGGAACGCTTAAACCATCAAGTGCCTTCACACAACCACCAACTGGATCTGGTAAGCTGTAATAATTTGTTTATATATATGAAGCTGCCTTTAGCATACAGGTTCCGGTTTTCAACCAAGACACTTTGCTCTCACTGGGAAAATTTCCTTAAACAGTTGCATATAATTTTGGCAAGTAAGCAAGTTTAATATATTTTAACTTTAATCTAAAAGGCTTATAACATAACCTGAGGTCCATTGTATCCTTAAAGTGATATTTACAATTGACAGGTGCTCATGGAGGAGCATGGACAAATGCTGATGTCAGTGACAAAAGCCTTGTTAAGTTAGGTCACCTGATTGCTGACGAGTATGATTCAAGATCTGATGAAGACAATTTGTTCATCTTCCACAAACTCCTCCAAGCTCGCAAACAGGTATATACTGTATACATTGTGTGATTTTGCTGTTGCATAGAGTATTCTTAAAAAATTCTCAAATGATAACACTGTAACAATTTTTTTCTTGGGCTCTAATTGTTATTTTCTGATAGCTTATGCCTTCAAAATATAGAAAATAGCAGTTTTTTCCCCATTGTGTATTTGACAATGAGTTCTATTTTAGCTTGGCCTAAAATTCTTCAGAATGTTCTCTCTGGAATGGACAAGAGAGAGAGATGTCATAATATATTCAAGTACTTGTAGGTCGGGTCTTTGATCTTTACAATAAAGTAACACCGTATTGGAGCAAAAAATATAGTTAGGAAGTGTTGAGTGTTAGCCTACAGAAAAAAAAACAGGTTCAGAAGTATACCATGAGCTATGTACCAGTAATAATAGTATTGAGATATGAAGGCAAGTTTACCCTATGCGGCACCTCCCTCTGGAACATTTTGTTCTTGGGTTAGGTAGCAGGTAAAATATGATTTATTATTTTTTATTTTTTTTCTAATTACATTTCTAGTAAGAACATGCCCTGCTCTTTCTGTGTGTATAAAAAAAATTATGCTTTTTCCTGTGCATAAAAAATATAAATGTCATTGTTTAATATAAAATATTGTACTGTAACTCGGTACCAGGCAATAAGTGTCAATGCTCTGCAACCAATAACTAAAATTACGAAATGGATCATTTTTCTCTTCTACTTTTTATTAAAGCTTTAATAAGAATAAACAGTGCTCTTTCTATATGTACAATTAAGGGTCTGTTACAAATATTTTTCAAATGGTAAAATAAAAATAAAATGTTTGCGTGTATCATTGTACTGGTTTACAGTAATGTAAAATTGATCCAAGTAGTTCCATACCAGGCCGTAAGTGTTCTCAGGTCATAGAAACACAGCATAAACACAACCCATAGCATATTCCCAAGGAATTTAATGTATATTAGTAACTAAATACGGTACAAACTAACTAATTCTTCCCTTTGTATTCCCATATATTGGTTTGTTATTTTATCATTATTTTCTTTTGAGTACAAAAAATTATTGCTCCCCATGAACTTAATCACTAATCATTTTATCACTTATATTGGTGAATGAATATTGAATACTGTGTTGAGAAAGTGTTTGCAGGTGTGTAAATGTAGCTGGCTTAGGAGAGAACCTGTATCATCCACCCTGCATTGATATGTACATTTATATATCAAGGTTCAGCTCCCTAGATTGATATATACATCTGTAGGGCAATTTAATGGTTGACACATGGCTATTTTGGAGGACAAATTAATGGTAGTTACATAGCTATTTTGGGAGACAGTTTAATGGTTGACACATGGCTGTTTTCTATAGATGTAAATCTGTTCTCTCTCCAGATTGCTGGAGGAATTAAGTACCACTTAGTTGCTGAGTTGGTGCATACAGTTTGCCCCAAGTACAAGCGACGCATCGACAAGACTCGCTGTCAGCCAGACATTGGCGAAGAACATGTGGTATGCTGATCTTATGCATTTTTGTAGAAACCAAGTTTCATTTTGTTTTGGCATAGGTTAAGGTTAAAGGAATGTACAGTTGTTTAATCTTCATTGGAAAGTTCATTTAAGTATTTATTACTACTGTATATTAGCTGCATACATGCATGTACAGTATATATTTGTGGCCAGAGATTGTGTATAATTTTGTAGCAAAATATCATATTTAGAATATTTGTATTTGCCTTAACTCTTGAAACTAATGTGAGTTTAGCATTATTTTCCATGTTGTACATTACTGATAGCCATCAACCTTACCTGAATTACTTAGGTGCTCAAGTGTCTGGCACTATTTATCTCTATCTTTTGAAACTTTTTTTTATCATCAACTTACAGGTTTGTGAAGCAAATGTTCTGACACAGCCCTGGCTGAAGAGGCAAGTTGTGACTGATCTCCGATGTGCAGAGAAGAATGATTTCGTGCAAGCAGATGATTCTGTTGAAATTTTGTATCCCAATGTGCATCCAACTGCTCATGCCAGGCCAGTGTTCCAGAGTCAGTTCTTGATCAGAGGCAGCGAAGAGAGCGACGAGAGCAATGAGGTGCGTTTCTCTCCAGACGTTATACTTGGCTCTATTGCTCGTTACCGTACTGTACTAAAAGTAAAATTAGATGTATATAATAGCATGTTATTTGTTTCTGATGTCTTCCATAGCAAAATGTTTCTCACTAAATGCCAGACTGGCCTCTGTGGCCCACATTTTGTTATGTCAGGAGGGTGTTGGAAATAGCTTTGGAGTTGAATGTGGCAATTGGTTATTAGCATGTTGATGATGGCAATGAAAAAGTCACTGCTTTTAAAATTTATCCCTTTTGCTTGATCTTTTGTGGATATTTCCTTCTGTACTTATAATTAATTTGCATTTAGCTTCATACTTATATTTCCACTACTCTTTATATTGGTGTCAATTTTTAAAAAAACAATCTTGGCAGGACTATGGCTATACAGAGTTTGCAAGTATTATCTAATTCACTTTTTTACTGGTAGCTTTCATACTTCTCCACTGTGTAATTGCAACCTCAGTCTTCAGTACTTTCATATGGCAACCCTCATACCTCTGTATACCTGAAAACTTGATCCATTGCCATGGAAGAGGCATCGCTAATGGCAATTGTACCTTTTCCTCCCTAAAGCGTTTCTACGACCCATCCAGAAGGACAGCCAGCAGCAGCCGCGAGTCGAACGAAGACGATTCTATGGAAATAAATCAGGTTAACAGCTGGCCTTGGCCTAACATGTTTAGTTCTAAACCAAGACTTAGGTGGCAATTGCAGTACAGTATATGAACATTTTCATTATCTTCTGAATAATAATAATAATAATAATAATAATAATAATAATAATAATAATAATTTCATGTATAAATAAAATATTAATACACACACACACATAAATATACAGTATAGTACTAGTACACAGCCATATATAAGAAGAAAATAAAAAAATGGCTCACGTTATTAATACAGTAATGAGAAATAGACCTTCCAGTCTCAAGAAAGAGACTGAGAGGTTTCTGAAGAACGTGACAGAAAATTTCAGGTGATCTTTAAGGTTGAGCTAGATTTGAGGGCTGACGCAGGTGATAATAGACGGGTTGGAAACCATGATTGAAGATATAGGAATAACTAAGGAGGTACAAAATTACCTTAAAGAATTGAGTTAAATCAATTGTATGACAAGGTGTTCAAGATTCCCACAAAAGAGAAAAGTGGGTGGTTGAATCTTCCCTAAGAGTACTAAAAAATGCATTTGATACTATCTACTATCCTCCCACCAAAAAGTTGATTTACAAGTTGAAGAAGCAGGCTGGGGGTAACTGGGAAGATAATGGGCTAGATTAGAGAGTACCTGACCAATAGGATACAAAGGGTTGTAGTGAGAGAGGACGAGTCAGGATTCAGAAAACTGGCATGCAGTGTCCCAGAAGGTTCGGGACCTGGACCACTAAGGTTTCTAATAGTTGAAATTGAAAAAGTATAGCAGAGTATTGGAATGTTGGGAGTATGAATTAATCATGCATTCTGTTGGCACAACTAGGTAAGCATATACCTAAATATTAGACACGAAAGGAAAGTGGGTGTATATGGCACTGTACGTGATACTGCAGAGTCAGAGGAGGTAGTCGCGAAATACCAAAGGCATTGAGTCAAGATAAAATTTCTTCTTGGTTGCTAAAGAAAGTGGTGGGAATACTATGCAAGTTAGTGCAAAGCATATAAAACTACTTTAAATACAGGAAAACTTTTAGAAATATGGAGGAATGTAGATGTGATACAATTTTCAAGAAAGTAGATAGGCAAGAGGATAAAACCAGAGCAGAGTGGCTAGATGGGAAGACGTCACTGTGCAGGAACATCACAGAAGGTGTGAGAAGAGAAACAGGACAGTGTAAGGGGAATTAACATCGGTGAAGTTTTATCTGGGATAAAATAACTTGTGATAAACCTCTTGCCAAGCATCCATGGCAGTAACACAGTGCAGGGTTCTGGAGAAAATATCAAGCATAAAATAGAGGAAGATCTGGAGAAAACAGAATTCATAATTGAAAAGCAGCACGTATTTGAGGAAGGAAAATTGTACCTGACAAACATAATTGAATTTTGACACAACCAAAATCAAACAGGAGAGAGAGAAATGGGTGCCTTTCTGCTTCCTTATATGTCTCTATATAACATCTATTTATGTCTCTTAACATCTATATAAACAAGATGTTTTCAAATATAAAAATAACAAAAATGAATTGAAGCTTAATTTTGTATATGAGATTTATTCTTGTAAACTGCCTCTTCTCACTCATTGAAATTTGAGGCATGGAGCATTTCCGTTTCCAGTTCTTTTGGAGAAGCAAATTCTTTTCATTTTCAATTGAACAAACTCATGACATTGAACTCTATAATCATTCCTTTTATTTATTTATTACCCCATCTCCCAAAACAGTTAGTACCATCACCTCTTCCTCAGCCCCCAACCTTAATCACGTTTTCTACACCAATTTTACCTTTCAGCCATGTTAAAATGCTTCTTCCTCCTCCTCTCTTTGTCTAACTAGAATATTCTTACTAGCAGACTTTTTTATGCTTCCCTATAATTAAATATTGAAGGGAAAATCACAAAAATCTTAGAGAATCGAGAGGTAACCCTGCACTGACATAGAGGAAAGGATCACATGGTATTTGGCCCATCCACACTGCCTTCTGGGCCACTTGGTGCCTCCTCTTTTGGTTCCTGTACCTTCCCTGACCCCTAGTCACCCTTCTCTTCCACTCACCACTTCTGTCACATTGGAACATTTGCTGGTTTTGAGGTGTTCTGTTTTTCCCCTCGTATAGGTTGTCCATGGCTTTGAATCCTTACAGGGGTCCCTTTTGCGTCTCCCCACTTCTTTCTTTAGGGATTACCTTATAAGTATGTCTCAAGCTTCTTTAGGTGCTTCCCTGGGACTCTGGCCTGCCTGTCTCCATGGGTCCATGGGCCCCTTGAGGGTTGCATTTTTTCAGTTCTACACTCTACAGTGCTCCAGATGGATTTCTAAGGTCTTTGCTTTCCTTGTTTCTAGACTATTCTTTGTTGTTGGGCACTATTTTTGTTTCTTTGGATGTTCAGGCAGTGCCTTACTGGGGCATTCTGCAGCCTTTGCTTTCATTTGCCTTAGATGCCTCGCATTCTCCACCAGTTAAAAGTTTTAGCCACCTGATTGTTGTAACTGTAACCTTGCACTCTTATATTTTACCATGTGGAATTGGCTAGGACAGCAGTTGTGTGGGCCCTCCTCAGATATGGAGGAGGGCTCCCCCACATTGAGCTTGGTGTGCTGTGTGTATTTTAAATTCATTCATGTTATTCACATGTTATTCTCTCTCATGGTGTCTGTTAATTTTCTTTTGTTTCTAAAAGCAACATTTCTAGTTCATTTATTAGGGTGTGTTGGAGTACAGGAGAATAAACAGAACAGTAGGGGTTGATGATGCAAGACTGTAGGAAAAGTGCACAAGTGCAATAAAATGATAAAGTTACAACCTTTAGGCTAACTATATTGACAGCATGGAAAAGTTACTGGCTTGCTGTATAATGTCTTCGTCAGCTTTCTCACACTTGCCTTGACTGAACAAAACAATGTAACCAAGAACAACATCCCTTTTCTTCATGGTGTTAGAAATAACTACAAAACTGTACTTGTATAAACTAAACCTATCAATGGCATACAGTACATGTACTTTATATATATTGTGTTGTATATTCACATACAGTGTACAGGGAGTTCCCACTTTATGAACATTTATCTTACAAACATTCTCCCAGGTCCCCATGCATTCCCATCATGCATAAAATCATTGTACAAACTCGCTGGAGCGTCCCTTTGAATTTCGCGGCAGCTTGAACATCTTTGTGGCAGTCACGGGGGGAGGGGGGTGCATGTGGGTGTAGGTTTGTGTGGGTGGGTGGCTGGATGCATGTGATACACTTCCCATACCCAGTGGCATTAAATCCTCAATAACCCACACTCTCATGAATTAATCATGTTTACTATGTTGGTGGGGGCGGGGCTGGTGATAGGAGGAGGGTAGGGGAGGCGTTTGTGAGGGTCAATTACAAAATGACGGGCAACCAATATAGTGCACATGTTTTTGCATCTATTTATTCATGTAATTATATCACTTCACTCTTCAAAAACGGCTAACTTTGACAAACTTAATAACTCCATTATTCAAGGTAAATAATGTTTGTTTTTTTTATATTATATGTCCCAAAACATTGGTTTTGTGAGGATCTTTGGTGGCCTGGGAACGCATCTCCAACTTAGTGCATTTCTCCTATGGAAAATCTTGTTCCGCATTCCGAACAAATGCTTTGCAAACACAGTCTCAGGACATAACTCATTTGTAATTGGGAAACTGCCTGTACCTAATAAATGAAGAAGGGTGATGAGTGCTCTAACATTGAGTCCAGGTCCCTTAGAAAGGTAATTGCTTTACAATTTACAGTTTATGCTAAGATGATGAAGGCAATATGGACAAAATGACTATAAAATACATCAGAAATTAAATAAGCTAGAACAAGTCACATGAATGGCTACATTGGAATGTCACCACCAGCAAATGATGGAGCAGAAGTTGACCGGAATTGCGGATCTGAAGAGACTTTAGAGGAAAGTACTGTAGTTAGAGACCTTGGGGAGAAGGAGGGATTAACAACACCCAAAGCTAGACATCAGACCAAACCTCTCGCAAGAACTCTTATATAAATAGAACGACGTCACCTGCAAAACTATTGGATCTTTAGAAACATGAATGACGATTCCTTCAAATCATTATACACAGCTCATGTCAGACCAGTGTTGGATTATACAGTGCCAGTAAAGAACCCTTACCTTGTACAATAGTACATTAAATCTTCACTCTCCAAATAAAGGCTGCAAGACTGATACTAGATATTAAAAGTCTTGAGATTCGAGGATAGTGCATGAGAACTGAATCTTCAAGTGCCAAACGGTTGAAGCGGCAGATAAAACATGATTCAGACATGAAGATGTAAAATGTAATAAACAAGATGAACAAAAGACACTGTTCCAGGTAAAGAGGACCACCACAAGTGGCCACGGGAGGAAATCGTAAAAGTAGATGAGCTATAATGATGCAAAAAAGTACTTTCAGTGTGGGTGTAATTGATTGATATAATGGAGTGTGTGTAAGTAGTAGTAGTAGTAGTAGTGGTGGTTAGAGAAATAATATACTTTATGAGCAAATAAGAAAATATCTTTGAAAATTTTGAGTCGAGTACATTAAATTTCCTAAACAAGATATGTGCCCAAGATGTATTTTCTTTCTGCAAGCATGCACTATTAGATATACACACACACATAAGCATGCATATATATACATACATATATTCAGACATACATATAAAAAATCCAAGCTTTTATTATTTATGTATCCAAGTTTATTAATTATGTATTTAATAATGAAGAAATTGACTAGGCTAGTCCCCAGTAGCATACATACTTGATATATGAGCTGGGTGGTTTTGATTCATAACCTGTAATACTGTAATAATATTTCCTGGAAAATGAAGATGTTATTTTTTTAATTAAAATAAAAGCTTAGGCTCAACTAATATTTTCTTCCATGAAGCGCTTCTACCACCCCTCGGGCCGAACAAACTTCCGTCGTCATGATACTGAAGAAGATGATTCTGACGAACTTCCGAGCTTTAGAGACAAGAGATCTCTTGTAGGGGGATTTTCTGCTGTTAATTTGCCCGATTCAAAAATCAGTGAATTGGCATCATTTGCTGTCAAGTCAATGGATGCAGTTTCTGAAGATCCAAATTCTAGAATTGTGGAGACTGTGATACGTGCTGAAAAACAGGTTAGTAACGTATAAACTATTCTGTACGGTACTGTATGCTCAAAAAATAGTTGTCTATTAAATATACTGCAATTTTTTTTTTAATACAGTTCAGCTCTGATGAAGACTCAAATAAGTTGAAAGTGCAATGCTGTTAATCTTTCATTTTTCACTATGGTTATTCTGCATATAAAAATATTATATATTATATATCAAGGAAGCCTGTCCTCGATATATAATTCCTATACTGTATATCGAGGACGGGCTTCCTGTCCTCGACAATAGGAATTATTATGGTCAAAGTTTGACATAAATTTTGGTTGTACAGTACTATTATTATTTTTATTTACTATTATTATTTATCCTGAACAGACAGTAGCAGGTGTAAATTGGAAGCTGCAAATACTAGTGAGCTGGACAACGTGTCTAAAGGAGGACCAAGTTGAGGATTCGAGTACCTGCACAAAGGACCTAAGTAAACCTAGCAGTAAATGTGATGTTACAATCTATGAGAAGCCATGGGAAAACTATATTAAAGTCACTGAAATGGCGTGCTCACCTGTCGATAACAAACAGTGAGTTGTGTATAACCTTATTTAAGAGAAGCGTAGAATTAGTCTAGACATTTACAGAATATATGAATGCTTTCTTTAATCTTTTCAAGTCTTTATTCCATGGGAGAAAAGTTAAACTGGGGATTAATGTATAACCGAGATCCAAAACTCTGTAGTCCTAAGTGAAAATTTGAGAGTGATTATGAAGCGCTGGTAGCTGGATATTATGTAGATTTGTTTGTAACAAACTTGTGTACTGTATTGGGTAACTTATGTGGGATATTATGCAAGTTTTGACTATAGTGACATTGTTATGTAGATGTGGCCAAAGCCTTAATATGATGTGGAAATTAATTTGTAATACAAAACATATTTGTGATGTTATAGTAGTATCTAAAATGTTAGTTGATATAGAAATATATAGTAAACTGGTTGCCATAGGCTGTAGACCAGATGTCACTAGTAGTAAACTGATAGGCTCAGGTGTTAGACCGGTTGGCCTCAGTCACTCTTGGAAGCCCTGCTACGGGAGAAGAGAAAGTGTCCTCTTCCTCCCGATTAATGGTAATCTTCTTGTCACATTCACCCTGCAGCTCCTCATGGTGGTCTGCTACATACTCTTCAACTTCATATTATCCTTTGAAATAAATGCTATTTTCCGACTTCATATCTTTGATTGTTTTCCTTCTTTATATCCTTAACTCTCCTTGCAGCCTTGCATATATATATATACTGTATACTGTACTTTTTGAATAGATAGGCCTACTTTATTGGGTAGGCCTGCTGAAGTATTTTCTCTATCATCTCAGGTTTAAGCTTCTTTAGTGTGAGCAAAATGAAGTGCCTCGGAATTGGCTGAAGTAAAGTGCTTGCTTTTGCTTGTAAAAGGTATAATAACTACCAGTACACTTCAGTATATTTTGAGCATACTGTATTGCTTTATAAATATTATAATATACTCCTGCTTTATTAGTCAGTACTTTAAAATATCAGGACATGCAATATTTGAAATATAATATAGCATATTGTACTTGTCACGTTAAATTTAAAACTAGGAATGTAAAACTGAAATTCAGTTTAGTTATATTTAGTGTGAAACTTGAAGCGATGCTTACCATGGAAACACAAAGGTAAGGTAGAGCAACTATTAACCTAATGGTTGAACCTACACAATAACGTGTGTTTAAATTGAACTGAAGCAGGAAAACGCCCGATAATAAATTTCAATAAGCTTAATTATGGACATTGAAAATGAATACAAATATAATCTACAATTTCAGGGCAATCTTTGTAAGTAATTTTTTTTAAATACTGTACCTTGTAATTTGTAATATTAGTAGTATTATACTATACTGTCAACTGAAATAATGTTCTACAGAAAAAGAAAGACAGGGAGAGATGGACAGATAGACAGAGAGAGTGAGAAAGAGAGAGAATGAATGAGTGAGTGAGAGAGAAGTTGCAGCCAGCAATCAGGAAAAGGATGGCACACTCGCAAACCATTTTGCTGCCAAGCTGCAGGCCTCTGATCCAGAATGACAACCCCCCATAGCTTGTGTCAAAAGTTGTCTTAGGTGGTTACTCAACAAGTTTAAATCCACTATCTCCATAAATCACTTGACATTTGTAAGACAGTGGGGGCTCTTATAAAGTCATCCCAAGAATATTTTGCAGTTGGGTGATCCTACTGCTATTACTTCTTACATGCCTCTACCAACTCTACCTAGCTCAAGGAATTTGGCCCTTCCTGTGGAAGAGGACAGATGTAGTTCCAGTCCCCAAATAGAAGAATCGTTCAGTTGTCAGTAACTACAGACCAATGTCTGCATTTAATTACTGGCAAAAGAGAGGCAATAATCTTTCAGCAAATGACACCAGATATCTGAAACACTATCCTATAGCTAATTACTACTTTCAAGGGCAAACTCCAAGCAGAATCTAAAAGACACTCAGTGTCAGCGAACTGCAGGTTGGTGTGCTCTGCCATTTTTCTGGCTATTTCAACAATCTACTACACCTCATGCCTATATCTCAGGCCTATGCTGATAACTGTACTCTAACCTTTGCACACGGAAAGGAAGAAATACGAACTGCTATGGTGGTCATTGATTTGCAAGCATTCTGCAGCATGTACCTGGGGTAGGTGATGGCAGGTCACATTTATGAGAAAATACTGGCAATGATTATGATGATAAGATAGCATGATATTGCAACTGGAACAGGTATGCAAAGGAGTGGCAAAACTGTGTGTTCAATAATGAAGTTCACATTTTGGAATTGAAGTTTGACCCCTCATTGACTATGATGAACCATGTGCTAAATATAGCAAATAAGACAACCAAGAAACTTATAGCCTTATGATATATATCATGCCTTCTCGACAGTCTTGGTTGCAAAACTTTATATGAAGCACAAGTTTGCTTCCAATATAAGTGGCTTGTCACCTATCATTTATCCAAATTCTGGACAGGGTGGAGGACTATGAGAAGGCTCCTCTCAGGTGTTGACCATTTTGGTTTGGATTGGTTAGTGCTGTACATACAGTAAATGCCTTCAACACTGGAGAGATGTAGGTGAGCTTACTGTTATGTAAGTTCAACACCTTGGTTGGCAAGTCCAGCAACGAAGAGGCCTGGTCGAGGACCGGGCCGTGGGGATGCTAAGCCCCGAAACCATCTCGAGGTAAACTCAAGGTATGTACATGGCCAGTGTTCTTAAGGTTCCCCACCTGGCCCAACTTCGTGGGCAATCGGAAGTTGGCACCCGTAACTCAAGGCACTCAGTCATCAAGTCATGCTGACTGTATCTTTCTCAGTAACATCACTCCATCAACAATCACTCATATCTTGGCTGGCTTGTATTTATAACATGTTTGCTCATCATGTAGATGTGTAAGAAATAAAGTCAGCCACATGAGGGCCCTCGCACACAGTTGGCTCCAGCTTTATCCTGTTGCTAACATGATTGTAACAATCCTAAATAAAATCAATTCCTAATGGAAACAAATAATAAGCTCAGCAAATATATGAGTATTTAGGTTCAGGCTTCAGATGAGCTGATGTAGAATCTTAGCTTGCAAAAAGGAGAATAATGACATTCCTAATAAACCCTAATATTTGTTTAATGAGAGAGAGTGGAGAGGGGGGGGGGATAAAAAAAGTGTCACGCAAGAAGATTTTGATGCTGTAAGTTACATTGATAAGCCTAAATATTGTCCTGGACATGGTGCAGAATTTATTAGAAGATGTAGTTAAACTTCTCTATGATGTGAGAGTGAAAACAAATGTGTAATAGTAGAAGTAGAGCTACAGTTAGCTAAATTGCTGTGATGGACAGTGCTGGATAAACTTCTTGTTCCACCACTAGGCTCTAGGCCTACAGTCCATCAAAATACTAGAGAATAGTGTTGTAAGCCGTCTGCTACTGTTGTTATAAGTTGTATAAAACTTCTTGCTGCAATTCAAGTAATATGAAAAAGTGACAAAGATTGAAGAAATGTACAAGGATATAAATGCCAAGGAGAGGGTCTTGATACAGATGTGTTGGCTAGTGAGAGGTAAATCATTCAAGAGGACACATTGCCTTGTGGCTTGTATGATAGTAGTAATAATCCAACTGTTTATCCAAATGTTGCCATATAATTCGATACAGTAAAGTGCACAAAAAAACGTAAAAGTAATTCTCGGGTAAATGTTTAAATATGGAAGTAAATTTGGTCAGTGATATTGGTAAGTGTTCTGCAGGTAGATTGACATGTGAAGGGAATACACTTTTAGCTTTGTTAATTTTATTACATAAATAGTTGTAGATAGTGTAATCATCATTAAGGATAGAGAGTTGACATATTTTCTAAAACTCCCACATCATGAGTTCAACCACATGGGCTGGACGGTATAGCAACGGTCTCACTTCATGGAGGTTGGCATTCAATCTTCGACCGTCCAAGTGGTTGGGCACCATTCCATCCCATCCCATCCCAAATCCTTATCCTGATCCCTTCCCAGTGTCATACAGTCGTAATGGCTAGGCACTTTCTCCTGATAGTTCCTTTCCCACATCATGGTATTTACTTGAATAAGGACATTTTTAAATACTCTGTGCATTCATGGGAAATAAAGTTTGATAATGGCCTGGTGGTAGTTTTAAAGTTGTTTTTAATAGTTACTGCAGAATGTGAAAATACACGAGTCATTGTTATCACAAAAGTCCTGTGTTAAATTATAAAATAAATTTTGCTATTGCAAAATTTTTTCAATATTTCAACAGCATATGTTTACTTTCATGAATCATATTCTTCAGTAATTTTATTGAAAAGCAACCTACAGTACTGTGCTCTAAGATTACTTTCTTGAGCTCTTAACACAGTATTAGTGTGTTTGTGCCTGAAGGTAATATCTTTACCTCTTGTCTCCTAGTATGGTTTCTTAAGAGTGTGCTTCTTTTGCTCAAATATATATTTTCCATTCTAGCTTTAATTTCTTTGGGACAGACTTTGGTTTTTATTTTTTTGGTAATATTTCTTTTAACTGATGTTTGAGTGCTTGCGAAATTGGAGGTAAATATGTACGTTGAAGCTCGTGGGGGATAATAATGACTTGAGGCCAGTGATTGTCCTCACTGCTGCTCTTGGTGCAATCTCCTTTCTTCACCACAAAACTACATGTTTTGACATCCTCAAGGTAAGTTAAACCAGAATTTCTCTACTTTTATGTTGTATATAAAGAGAGCATCTATTCATAGGGCAACTAACCACCTTTGAAGATAAGGAAAAGCTGTTGATATGGATTAAAGAATTTGCATGCACCCTACGGTGGAGCACCTAGTCAAACATTCTTCTTCTTCTTCTTTGCAATACGTGCAGTTTGCATGAAGGTTCTTCCTCCTGATGACTACACGAGCGGTAATGTAGAAAGATGCGACTCTCACAGCGGCGCATCAAGGGTCACGATGTGACAGAGGTGGGAAGATATCAACGTCTTCTATATGGTTGAGGATAAAGACAAAATAAACATATAAGTGGAAAGGGACTCAGGACGAGAAAAATGAGAAGTTGCAAGAAAGGTGAAAGCACAGCGTCGCCGTACTATTAAAAGTGTGGGATGTAGGCAAGAAGCGGAGGATGGGAGGCGAAGGTTGTGTAGGAGGTAGTTGCTGATCAGATATGAGAAAGGAAGGGAAGTGCGAGCACATGAAGGATATGTAGAAGGATATTCTACACGGTGGGAACGTGTAGAAGGATAGGGTAAGTCAGGTCGGGATAGGGTAGGTGAGGACGGGGTAAGTTATGTAAACGGATTCCGGAGCTTTACGTCTGGGACGCAATCACATCGGTCTTCTTAGACATGCCAGCAGTACAGTGGGAGGAAGACCTGGGAGTTGGGTGAGCAGAAGTTATGGGAGTGTGTGGTTTACAGGGTCTGTCAGGCAAAGTGGCAGGACGCTTAGAAGTCAGGACAGCTGAAGTCAGGATTGCTTCCTCTTAGTACCAGGGATTGGGAATTTACGGCAAGTCAGCCTGAGGAGGGACTCTGGTAAGGCATGCCAAGGAGTTATCGAGGGCGTTTTCCAGCATCAGTTCAAACGTTTGGGAGAGAGCAAGGGTCAATATCCAATCTGGATGGTCAACCATCCAACCAACCAACCAACATCCAATTGGATTGACATCCAACCTCTGCAGGAGGTTGGATGTCAATCATAGGAGATGCGGAGAAGGGGTGTGTTGGGTCAGCCTCAGGAATGGGTTGGACGGATTGCGGAAAGAATTTAGTTAGGAGTCGGACCAGCGTCTTCTCGAGTGCATCCGCAATGCGAGTGACAATTGCGTCAACTAGATCGGGAATCAGTTGTATGGTGTGTGAGAGAGAGAACTGGACTCAGGGTTACAGGAATGTTGGTGACAGACAGAGCAGGCACAAGCAAATGTGGCGGCAGAATGGGAAACAGTGGTTGATGATGAACTGAGTTTGGATGAAGCAGAGCACGACTGTAATGCAGTTTGACGGCGAGGAGAGTTTTAGATTGCGCCGCTACATATAAAAGACATTGTTTGAATGTAATGTCATGATCACCCCTATAGTTGGAGCAGCAGAGTATATCTAACACACAGTCACTGGTTTAATGGGAACCAGGGCAATTTCCACATTTGATGTCGTTGATGCAGCCTTTTGAAGTATGGTGAAAACCTTTATAACGAAAGCACTGAGTGGGACAGGGGACGTAAACCTCCAGTTTATGGAGGAAGCCATTAATCCAAACCTGATAAGGGGAAAAGAAATCAAGAAAAGTAAGTAGGGCTGAGCCAGTATCACACAGTTCACCATTAGTCCGCCACAAATTTTCTGACTCCGAAGATTGGAATGTCAGCAACCTGAAGTTGCGTCTTGATGTTGTCTGCACTAATGTCAACAACATGTCGGACCACATATCTTGCTAAATGGTCACCCAGGGGTTAGTAGCATCAGACTTTGTAACCACAGATTTCAGTAACATCAGGAAGCTCTAGGTCATCGCTGTAATTGTGGTCCACTGCAGTTAAGTTCCTTCATTTATTCAGTCTGATATCATGCACTTTGATCTTAAAGAACTTGGGAATGGCATGATATAGGAGACTTTGTGCCCTGCTATTTCCAAAACACTCCTATCAACGGGCGTGTCATCATCAAAGGCAATGATGAACGTTTGTAAACCAGGAGAACTCATCCTACCTTGAGTGAGCACAGGATGTAAATGCTGAGGCCACGCAGAGCTGGGTCGATAACATGGTATCTCAGGACCCTGGCAGCGTTTTGCCTCCAATCTATTCACCCTACAATGATTTTTATTGTCCAGGAAAACTCTCCCTGGAACTCCCTGTAAGACCGGAATATCGAAGTGCCATGTAACAGTGAGTTCTGAAAACCCTCAAAAGTATCGTGAATGTTTGTAGGAGAGACGCTGCACGCACCACCATCCGTCACCATGGTCACTGGCAAATCCATCCTACACTCTTCAGTGTATTGATGCATGTGTTGATAAGTGCTAATTATCTAAGTGTAATTACCAAAGTGTAGTTAAAGGATGAGAGCAATGCTTGTAGTGTCCCATCTTCCTAGCACTGTCATACAACGCTTTGAAACTACTGACGGTTTTGGGCTCCTCCATTTTCTCACTTGTTCCAGTCGTCTACCTCTCTGTTTCCAAAGTGAATTTTCTAATATTTGTTTAGGAGCTTTGTTTAGCTTAAATCTATGACCTTTTGTTCTTGAAGTTCCAGGTCTCAAGAATTCTAATTTATCAATTTTTGTCCATTCCTGTTAGTGATCATATCACATCCTTTTCTTCTATCTTCTAGCTTTGTCATATTTAATGTCTCTAACCTCTACTCGTGTGTCCATATTAATGCTTACATTAATAATGTGTGTCCATAATGATGCACATGTTGATAATGTGTGTCCATATTGATGCACATGTTGATAATATGTGTCCATATTGATGCACATGTTGATAATGTGTGTCCATATTGATGCACATGTTGATAATGTGTGTCCATATTGATGCACATGTTGATAATGTGTGTCCATATTGATGCACATGTTGATAATGTGTGTCCATATTGATGCACATGTTGATAATGTGTGTCCATATTGATGTACATGTTGATAATGTGTGTCCATATTGACATGCACATGTTGATAATGTGTGTCCATATTGATGCACATGTTGATAATGTGTGTCCATATTGATGCACATGTTGATAATGTGTGTCCATATTGATGCACATGTTGATAATGTGTGTCCATATTGATGTACATGTTGATAATGTGTGTCCATATTGATGCACATGTTGATAATGTATGTGTCCATATTGATGCACATGTTGATAATGTGTGTCCATATTGATGCACATGTTGATAATGTGTGTCCATATTGATGCACATGTTGATAATGTGTGTCCATATTGTGTCCATGATGCACATGTTGATAATGTGTGTCCATATTGATGCACATGTTGATAATGTGTGTCCATATTGATGCACATGTTGATAATGTGTGTCCATATTGATGCACATGTTGATAATGTGTGTCCATATTGATGCACAGGTTGATAACTAGTGCAGTCATTTAAGATGATGTGCAGGCCTTTGTTATGCAGATAATATCTATATTGTTACAAATAACCCCCCTCTCCCCCCCCCCAAAAAAAAAAAAAAAAAATCTACTTATTCACAACCAGCAATATTGCATGTATCCTTTTATCCACACAAAATCTTAAAATTGTAAGCCCCATTATTGGGACCGACAGCTTTTCACATTTTTAAATTGAACATCGAAGTCTGTAAACAATACAAGTACCTCGGAAGGTATCAACGACTTAATGCTAAATTATCTATATAACAGATATTAAATAAGGATGAGACTGAAAACATTTGTTTTTTAAGAATTTTGGTGTTGATATAAAGCATGCTAGGCTTTTATATACATATAAGAATTGCTTGATTTATAGTTGATTACTTCACTTTGTATTTAACAATCTGTATTAAAAGATACTAAAACTGTATTAAATATGCTGAAATGAATACAAAATATAGCCATGAAGATAATTTATGATGCTCTTGAATCAACTTGAATTAACCACTGCACTGCGCAAAACACCTTAATGCGCTATGAAGGTTGTGTGATTTTGTTTTTAATTAGGCAATATTTTAATTTTTTAAAAATGTTTTCATCGCTCTTTGTGATTTGAAATGAAAATGATTGAGTTTGGAAACATTTTCACATTAACATTAGCTGAACATTTATAAAAAGAAAAAATAATATGTCCTTAACAACTGCACCTTGAAATTTTTTCCATAAACAGGTGCACAGTGCAGTGGTTAATAACATGAGGGAAGGAAAAATAATTATCACATACAGTACAGTACAGTATATGAAATAATTGTACAGCTTATTTCCTCTTACACTATGATCATACAAGACCCATTAGCTCCAACATATTAAAATATCAACTGTTTTGAACCCTCAAGAAGCCATGAAGGGATGATAACCTATCAGCACAGCCAGAATCACATAACCTATCAGCACATAGTTGAGAAGAAACATGACTAACATATCATACCACATACAGCTGTGTGCAATGTTCTTGTTAATGTTACACCACTCGACTTTTACCTGGAAACACATAGCTTGTCACATCCATCAGAAAAATACTGTATGAGCAATGAACAAAAACACTTCACACAATTGCTTTCTATGTATGCAGCTTATGACGTAATGAACATTATGTCTTAACAATAACAACGTAGTTTACCATTAGCATGTCCTACTGTACTGTTTTAACATCAGAATTAACACTTGCTTCAATTTGGCACAACCTGTGATAGCTTTACTACTACTACTAGCAGCTAATATATATATATATATATATATATATATATATATATATATATATATATATATATATATATATATATATATATATATATATATAATATATTCTGTATAATATATAACCCACTTGAGGAACAGTAATAGTTGGTGATTACTAATAAGAATCGTAATTTGTGAGACATATTCAAAATTTTTAAACATAGTTATAAATTACATAAGTTCAGTCTTTCACAAAATAAAGGTATAATAAATATCATTTGCATGGAAGCCAACTCCGGCCATAACTTTATACACTTTAATGTAGATTAGGTTATCTACATAATGTTGACATTCCTAAGTTTATTAATTTAAAAAATATCGGTATAAAACAGAAGTTACTGCTGAGAACCATACATTATACCCTTAAATAAATTTGGATAACTATGTCCAATACTGTTTGATTTTGAATTATTACTAATAACCTGGTATATCATATAATTTAACAGGCAGAATCATCGTCACAGTCATTCTGACGGAGATGGGAGCATCAGGAAGAGGAGGAAGGCTTTGGGGGGGTACAGCCCAGTAGATCTCTCAGATCAAGGTGTTAATGAAGTGGCGAAGTTTGTGGTTAGGTCTGTGGATGCTGTGACCAACGATCCTTATGTCAGGACTGTTGAGAATGTGAGAAGTGCTCAAGTACAGGTCAGTTATAAATGATTGCTGGTTCTTGCAAATACAGTATTGATATTTAGGGTCATATGGTAAATAGTGATATATCCTGCACTGTGTGTCTCATTAAATAACTGTGTTGTAAATGAACAAAAAGGCTTTATATATATGGGAGTCATGTTATTTTGAGCAGATAGTAGCAGGTAAAAACTGGAAGCTGGAAATAGAGTTGAGCTGGACACTGTGCAGGAAAGAGGAAGGTGTCCAGGACTTGAGCAACTGTGAGAAGGACCCCAGTAAACCCAACAGTATTTGTGATGTTATTGTTTATGAAGTACCATGGCAGAACACTAGGGAAGTGACAAAGATGGAATGCAAGACTCTGGAAGAAAAGCAGTGAGTATAAAGTACCTGTTCATAATTAGCCCAGACATGTACACATATTGAAAACATTGTTCTATTTTCTCTCTTCCAATGTTGTGATGATTTACATCACATCAAAGATTCCTTGTCTTTGTACCTTGAGGTTACCTTGAGGTGCTTCCGGGGCTTAGCGTCCCCGCGGCCCGGTCGTCGACCAGGCCTCCTGGTTGCCGGACTGATCAACCAGGCTGTTGAATGCGGCTGCTCGCAGCCTGACGTATGAGTCACAGCCTGGTTGATCAGGCTGTAACTCATTGTAACTCATACCTCTCACACAAAGGTCTAGTTTTTTGGAATTCATTTAGACTATGAATAGATTTCTGGGAGGGGCCCCTTCGGCTTCGCGGAGCTATCCAGGCTGATATGGATATATTAGACTTTGGAATCAGTCAGTGTGAATGGAGTTCTTTGGCCTACCGGGGACTACGAGGCAGAACCTGGCCGCATCAGAGAGGCATGAGGAGCAATGGTGTATAGAATTGCACATGTGATTTGGATCATTCTGTGTCTGCCATTGATCGGGTCAGGCACCCAGAAAGGTAAACATCCCAAAACAAACCCCTATTCTGGCTGAAACTACTTCTGAAAGTCAAACAAGTGGACAGAACTCGCCAAAGAAAACCAAGCAAATGAGCATGCCATCATCATGTGCTGTGCTGCTATCTGTGCAGCTGCCCCCCTCCCCAGGAGGGGAAGGTTTGTGTGCCTTAAGAGATCGTGACAGGTTATGTTGCTTTGGTCATTCTAATTCGAGCAGGTGCCTCTTTACTTCATCTCTGGTACTCTCAAGGTCCTCCACTGCTGCTTGATTTTAGAATCACCTTCAAAGATGAAGTTGCTCTCATTTCATATTGTATAGACTTGGACTTTGTTGAATTCCTGACACATGCACGTGTTGTTCTTCTAATAATAATAATCATTTTAATACTCAAGAGAATTCACAGTAACGTGTTATATCAAAGAGAAAATTAACAGGAGTTATGATGAAGATTCAAACCATGACTGTGTCATGGCCTATCGTCTAGAGCATGTGTCTGGGAATACCCAGCGCATAGGTTCGAATCCTCATCACAGCTCATGTGGATTTTCTCAATAATAATAATAATGATGATGATAATCTCAAATGTACATAGATAAGAGGCATAAAAGAGGAAGATAAATAGGTAAGACAAGTACATTGCATAAAGCCACTAATACAAAGTGAGTGTTTTGAGCATAACTCATGATAAAATTTAGATTGTTAAATTGTTTGATGAGGTAGACAATACTAACAAGAAGCAAGCTAACATAAAATATAATTACAAGACATTTTGCAAATTATATATACATTTGAGGAAGGGCATAACATGAAAAGAAGTATGAGAAAGTTAATAGGTTTTATTAAGGAACACTCTATATAAACAGAGATCTGTATGGGAACATAATTGAATTCCTGAAAGTTATGAAAATAACTGATAATTTAACAAGAATATATAAACAGCTGCTTCAACAGTTCAAATAAAGTGATACATTTTCCAGAGATTTTTATGTATAGTGAGGTAACAGTTGATTTAATGATTTATTTATATTTTGTTAAATGATATATATTTGTTTATACAGTACTGTATGTTTTACAGGCGACATCGTCGTAACGAAGATTCTGTTAAACTGGCAAACTTACAACCTAGCGCAGTGGTAGGGGGATATACTACAGTACAACTCCCTAATGAAGATGTCAGTAAAGTTGCCATGTTTGCTGTTCAGACTATGGATGCAGGGACTAATGATCCTAATGTCAGGGTTGTTGAGAAAATCAACAGTGCAAGCAAACAGGTCAGTAAAATGCATTTGGTGTAGGAGATGCTACCAATTATTTTATAATAATTTAAGTGTTTATTGTTTGTATTTGGGTACGTGTGCTGAATAATACTAACTTAATGAAATGTAATGGAGATTATTTTACTAGTACATGATTTTATTTTGTATAGACAGTAGCAGGTATAAACTGGAAGCTGGAAATAGAGTTGAGCTGGACACTGTGCAGGAAGGAGGAAGGTGTCCAGGACTTGAGCAACTGTGAGAAGGACCCCAGTAAACCCAACAGTATTTGTGATGTTATTGTTTATGAAGTACCATGGCAGAACACTAGGGAAGTAACAAAAATGGAATGCAAGACTGTGGAAGACAAGCAGTGAGTATAAAGTACCTATTCATCATTAGCCCAGACATGTACACATATAGCAAACATTGTTCTATTTTCTCTCTTCCAATGATGTGAGGATTTACATCACATCAAAGATTCCTTGTCTTTGTAACTCATACCTCTCACACAAAGGTCTAGTTTTTTGGAATTCATTTAGACTATGAATAGATTTCTGGGAGGAGCCCCTTCGGCTCCCCGGAGATATCCAAACTGATATGGATATATTAGACTTTGGAATCAGTCAGTGTGAATGGAGTTCTTTGGCCTACTGGGGACTACGAGCCAGAATCTGGCCCCCTCAGAGAGGCATGAGGAGCAATGACGTATAGAATTGCACATGTGATTTGGAGCATTCTGTGTCTGCCATCAATCGGGTCAGGCACCCAGAAAGGTAAACATCCTAAAACAAACCCCTATTCTAGCTGAAACTACTTCTGAAAGTCAAACAAGTGGACAGAACTCCCCAAAGAAAAATAAGCAAATGAGCATGCCGTCATCACGTGCTGTGCTGCCATCTGTGCAGCTGCCCCCCTCCACAGGAGGGGGAGGTTTGTGAGGGGCGAGTTTGTGTGCTTTAAGAGATCGTGACAGGTTATGTACTTTGGTCATTCTAATTCGAGCAGGTGCCTCTTAACTTTATCTCTGGTACTCTCACGGTCCTCCACTGCTCCTTGATTTTAGAATCACCTTCAAAGATCAAGTTGCTCTCATTTCTTATTGTATAGACTTGGACTTTGTTGAATTCCTGACACATGCACTTGTTCTTCTAATAATAATAATAATAATTGTAATACACAGAGAATTCTCAGTAACCTGATATATCAATGAGAAAATTAACAGGAGCTATGATGAACATTCAAACCATGACTATGTCATGCATGGTCTATCGTCTAGAGCATGTGTCTGGGAATTCTCAGCACATAGGTTCGAATCCTAATCACGGCTCATGTGCATTTTCTCAATAATAATAATAGTTATATACTCAAATGTACATAGATAAGAGGCATAAAAGAGGGAGATACATAGGTAAGACAAGTACATTGCATAAAGCCACTAATACAAAGTGAGTGTTTTGAGCGTAACTCATGATAAAATTTAGATTCTTGAATTGTTTGATGAGGTAGACAATACTAATAAGAAGCAAGCTAACATAAAATATAATACAAGACATTTTGCAAATTATATATACCTCTGAGGAAGGGCATAACATGAAAAGAAGTACGAGAAAGTTAATAGGTTTTATTAAGTAATACATTACTTTATATTAACAGAGATACTGTATAGGAACATAATTGAATTCCTGAAAGGTATGAAAATAATTGATAATTTAACAAGAATCTATAAACAACAGCTGCTTCAACAGTTCAAATAAAGTGATACATTTTCCTGAGTTTTTTTTATGTATAGTGAGGTAACAGTTGATTTAATGATTTATTTATATTATGTTTCATGATATATATTTGTATATACAGTACTGTATGTTTTACAGCCGACATCGTCGTAACGAAGATTCTGTTAAACTGGCAAACTTACAACCTAGCGCAGTGGTAGGGGGATATACTACAGTACAACTCCCTAATGAAGATGTCAGTAAAGTTGCCATGTTTGCTGTTCAGACTGTGGATGCAGGGACTAATGATCCTAATGTCAGGGTTGTTGAGAAAATCAACAGTGCAAGCAAACAGGTCAGTAAAATGCATTTGGTGTAGGGAATGCTACCAATTATTTTGTAATATTTTAAGTGTTTATTGTTTGTATTTAGGTATGTATGCTGAATAATACTAACTTATTGAAATGTGATGGAGATTATTTTTCTAGCACGTGATTTTTATTTTGTATAGATAGTAGCAGGTATAAACTGGAAGCTGGAAATAGAGTTGAGCTGGACACTGTGCAGGAAGGAGGAAGGTGTCCAGGACTTGAGCAAATGTGAGAAGGACCCCAGTAAACCCAACAGTATTTGTGATGTTATTGTTTATGAAGTACCATGGCAGAACACTAGGAAAGTGACAAAAATGGAATGCAAGACTGTGGAAGAAAAGCAGTGAGTATAAAGTACCTATTCATCATTAGCCCAGACATGTACATATATTGGAAACATTGTTCTATTTACTCTCTTCCAATGATGTGATGTTTAATTCTTTGTCTTTGTAAATCATACCTCTCACACAAATGTCTAGTTTTTTGGAATTCATTTAGACTGAATAGATTTCTGGGAGGGGCCCCTTTGGCTCCCCGGAGCTATCCAGGCTGATATGGATATATTAGACTTTGGAATCAGTCAGTGTGAATGGAGTTCTATGGCCTACCGGGGACTACGAGGCAGAACCTGGCCCCCTCAGAGAGGCATGAGGAGCAATGACGTATAGAATTGCACATGTGATTTGGATCATTCTGTGTCTGCAATTGATTGCATCAGGCATCCAGAAAGGTAAACATCCCAAAACAAACCCCTATTCTGGCTCAAACTACTTCTGAAAGTCAAACAAGTGGACAGAACTCCCCAAAGAAAAACAAGCAAATGAGCATGCCGTCATCACGTGCTGTGCTGCCATCTGTGCAGCTGCCCCCCTCCTCCAGGAGGGGAAGGTTTGTGTGCCTTAAGAGATCGTGACAGGTTATGTAGCTTTCGTCATTCTAATTCGAGCAGGTGCTTCTTTACTTCATCTCTGGTACTCTCAAGGTCCTCCACTGCTGCTTGATTTTAGAATCACCTTCAAAGATCATGTTGCTCTCATTCCTTAGTGTATAGACCTGGACTTTGTTGAATTCCTGACACATGCACTTGTTCTTCTAATAATAATAATCATTTTAATACTCAAGAGAATTCACAGTAACGTGATATATCAATGAGAAAATTAACAGGAGTTATGATGAAGATTCAAACCATGACTGTGTCATGGCCTATTGTCTTGAGCATGTGTCTGGGAATACCCAGCACATATGTTCGAATCCTCATTACGGCTTATGTGGATTTTCTCAATAATTATTATTATTATATACTCAAATGTACATAGATAAGAGGCATAAAAGAGGAAGATAAATAGGTAAGACAAGTACATTGCATAAAGTCACTAATACAAAGTGAGTGTTTTGAGCATAATTCATGATAAAATTTAGATTGTTTAATTGTTTGATGACAATTAAAATTAATGAAAGACAATACTAACAAGAAGCAAGCTAACATAAAATATAATACAAGACATTTTGCAAATTATATATAGCTTTTAGGAAGGGCATCACACGAAAAGGAGTATGAGAAAGTTAATAGGTTTTATTAAGGCAAACACTACTTTATATTAACAGAGATACTGTATGGGAACATAATTGAGTTCTTGAAAGTTATGAAAATAATTGATAATTTAACAAGAATCTATAAACAACAGCTGCTTCAACAGTTCAAATAAAGTGATACATTTTCCGGAGTTTTTAATGTATAGTGAGGTAACAGTTGATTTAATTATTTATTTATATTATGTTTCCTAATATAGATATTTGTATATACAGTACTGTATGTTTTACAGGCGACATCGTCGTAACGAAGATTCTGTTAAACTGACAAACTTACAACCTAGTGGAGTGGTAGGGGGATATACTACAGTACAACTCCCTAATGAAGACGTCAGTAAAGTTGCCATGTTTGCTGTTCAGACTGTGGATGCAGGGACTAATGATCCTAATGTCAGGGTTGTTGAGAAAATCAACAGTGCAAGCAAACAGGTCAGTAAAATGCATTTGGTGTAGGAGATGCTACCAATTATTTTGTAATATTTTAAGTGTTTATTGTTTGTATTTAGGTATGTATGCTGAATAATACTAACTTTTTGAAATGTAATGGAGATTATTTTTCTAGCACGTGATTTTTATTTTGTATAGATAGTAGCAGGTATAAACTGGAAGCTGGAAATAGAGTTGAGCTGGACACTGTGCAGGAAGGAGGAAGGTGTTCAGGACTTGAGCAAATGTGAGAAGGACCCCAGTAAACCCAACAGTATTTGTGATGTTATTGTTTATGAAGTACCATGGCAGAACACTAGGGAAGTAACAAAAATGGAATGCAAGACTGTGGAAGACAAGCAGTGAGTATAAAGTACCTATTCATCATTAGCCCAGACATGTACATATATTGAAAACATTGTTCTATTTACTCTCTTCCAATGATGTGATGTTTAATTCCTTGTCTTTGTAAATCATACCTCTCACACAAAGGTCTAGTTTTTTGGAATTCATTTAGACTATGAATAGATTTCTGAGAGGAGCCCCTTCAGCTCCTTGGAGCTATCCAGGCTGATATGGATATATTAGACTTTGGAATCAGTCAGTGTGAATGGAGTTCTTTGGCCTACCGGGGACTACGAGGCAGAACCTGGCCGCATCAGAGAGGCATGAGGAGCAATGACGTATAGAATTGCACATGTGATTTGGAACATTCTGTGTCTGCCATCGATCGGGTCAGGCAACCAGAAAGGTAAACATCCCAAAACAAACCCCTATTCTGGCTGAAACTACTAATGAAAGTCAAACAAGTGGACAGAACTCCCCAAAGAATAACAAGCAAATGAGCATGCCGTCATCACGTGCTGTGCTGCCTTCTGTGCAGCTGCCCCCCTCCCCAGGAGGGGGAGGTTTGTGTGCCTTAAGAGATCGTGACAGGTTATGTAGCTTTGGTCATTCTAATTCGAGCAGGTGCCTCTTTACTTCATCTCTGGTACTCTCAAGGTCCTCCACTGCTGCTTGATTTTAGAATCACCTTCAAAGATCAAGTTACTCTCAATCCTTATTGTATAGACCTGGACTTTCTTGAATTCCTGACACATGCCCTTGTTCTTCTCATAATAATAATAATAATAATAATAATAAAAATAATAATAATCATTTTAATACACAGATAATTCACAGTAACGTGATATATCAATGAGAAAATTAACAGGAGTTATGATGAAGATTCAAACCATGACTGTGTCATGGCCTATCGTCTAGAGCATGTGTCTGGGAATACCCAGCACATTGGTTCGAATCCTCATCACAGCTCATGTGGATTTTCTCAATAATAATAATAATTATATACTCAAATGTACATAGATAAGAGGCATAAAAGAGGGAGATACATAGGTAAGATAAGTACATTCCATAAAGCCACTAATTCAAAGTGAGTGTTTTGAGCATAATTTATGATAAAATTTAGATTGTTAAATTGTTTGATGAGGTAGACAATACTAACAAGAAACAAGCTAACATAAAATATAATAGAACACATTTTGCAACAAGAGTACATTCATGTACAGCCACTATACATAGCGTTTCAAGGTCCCTGGAATACGATCCCCGCCGCGAAGAATTTGTTACAACCATGTACACATTTTACTGTTGCGTTAAACAGAGGCTACAGTTAAGGATTTGCGCCCAGTAAATCCTCCCCGGCCAGGATACGAACCCATGACAAAGCGCTCGCGGAACGCCAGGCGAGTGTCTTACCACTACACCATTGAGATATTCCTTTGAGGAAGCACATAACATGAAAAGAAGTATGAGAAAGTTAATAGGTTTTATTATGGAATACTCTACTTTATATTAACAGAGATACTGTATGGGAACATAATTGAATTCCTGAAAGTTATGAAAATAATTGATAATTTAACAAGAATCTATAAACAACAGCTGCTTCAACAGTTCAAATAAAGTGATACATTTTCCTGAGTTTTTTATGTATAGTGAGGTAACAGTTGATTTAATGATTTATTTATATTATGTTTCATGATATATATTTGTATATACAGTACTGTATGTTTTACAGGCGACATCGTCGTAACGAAGATTCTGGTAAACTGGCAAACTTACAACCTAGCGGAGTGGTAGGGGGATATACTACAGTACAACTCCCTAATGAAGACGTCAGTAAAGTTGCCATGTTTGCTGTTCAGACTGTGGATGCAGGGACTAATGATCCTAATGTCAGGGTTGTTGAGAAAATCAACAGTGCAAGCAAACAGGTCAGTAAAATGCATTTGGTGTAGGAGATGCTACCAATTATTTTGTAATATTTTAAGTGTTTATTGTTTGTATTTAGGTATGCATGCTGAATAATACTAACATATTGAAATGTAATGGAGATTATTTTTCTACCACATGATTTTTATTTTGTATAGATAGTAGCAGGTATAAACTGGAAGCTGGAGATTGAGTTGAGCTGGACACTGTGCAGGAAGGAGGAAGGTGTCCAGGACTTGAGCAAATGTGAGAAGGACCCCAGTAAACCCAACAGTATTTGTGATGTTATTGTTTATGAAGTACCATGGCAGAACACTAGGAAAGTGACAAAAATGGAATGCAAGACTGTGGAAGAAAAGCAGTGAGTATAAAGTACCTATTCATCATTAGCCCAGACATGTACATATATTGCAAACATTGTTCTATTTTCTCTCTTCTAATGATGTGATGATTTACATCACATCAAAGATTCCTTGTCTTTGTAACTCATACCTCTCACACAAAGGTCTAGTTTTTTGGAATTCATTTAGGCTATTAATAGATTTCTGGGAGGAGCCCCTTCGGCTCCACGGAGCTATCCAGGCTGATATGGATATATTAGACTTTGGAATCAGTCAGTATGAATGGAGTTCTTTGGCTTACTGGGGACTACGAGTCAGAACCTGGCCGCATCAGAGAGGCATGAGGAGCAATGGTGTATAGAATTGCACATGTGATTTGGATCATTCTGTGTCTGCCATTGATTGGGTCAGGCACCCAGAAAGGTAAACATCCCAAAGCAAACCCCTATTCTGGCTGAAACTACTAATGAAAGTCAAACAAGTGGACAGAACTCCCCAAAGGAAAACAAGCAAATGAGCATGCCATCATCATGTGCTGTGCTGCCGTCTGTGCAGCTGCCCCCCTCCCCAGGAGGGGGAGGTTTGTGTTCCTTAAGAGATCGTGACAGGTTATGTAGCTTTGGTCATTCTAATTCGAGCAGGTGCTTCTTTACTTCATCTCTGGTACTCTCAAGGTCCTCCACTGCTCCTTGATTTTAGAATCACCTTCAAAGATCAAGTTGCTCTCATTTCATATTGTATAGACCTGGACTTTGTTGAATTCCTGACACATGCACTTGTTCTTCTAATAATAATAATCATTTTAATACTCAAGAGAATTCACAGTAACGTGATATATCAATGAGAAAATTAACAGGAGTTATGATGAAGATTCAAACCATGACTGTGTCATGGCCTATCGTCTAGAGAATGTGTCTGGGAATACCCAGCACATAGGTTCGAATCCTCATCACGGCTCATGTGGATTTTCTCAATAATAATAATAATAATGATGATAATCTCAAATGTACATAGATAAGAGGCATAAAAGAGGAAGATAAATAGGTAAGACAAGTACATTGCATAAAGTCACTAATACAAAGTGAGTGTTTTGAGCATAACTCATGATAAAATTTAGATTGTTTAATTGTTTGATGAGGTAGACAATACTAACGAGAAGCAAGCTAACATAAAATATAATACAAGACATTTTGCAAATTATATATACATTTGAGGAAGGGCATAACATGAAAAGAAGTATGAAAAAGTTAATAGGTTTTATTAAGGAATACTCTACTTTATATTAACAGAGATACTGTATGTGAACCTAATTGAATTCTTGAAAGTTATGAAAATAACTGATAATTTAACAAGAATCTATAAACAACAGCTGCTTCAACAGTTCAAATAAAGTGATACATTTTCCTGAGTTTTTTTTATGTATAGTGAGGTAACAGTTGATTTAATCATTTATTTATATTTTGTTTCATGATATATATTTGTAGATACAGTACTGTATGTTTTACAGGCGACATCGTCGTAACGAAGATTCTGGTCAACTGGCAAACTTACAACCTAGCGGAGTGGTAGGGGGATATACTACAGTACAACTCCCTAATGAAGACGTCAGTAAAGTTGCCATGTTTGCTGTTCAGACTGTGGATGTAGGGACTAATGATCCTAATGTCAGGGTTGTTGAGAAAATCAACAGTGCAAGCAAACAGGTCAGTAAAATGCATTTGGTGTAGGGGATGCTACCAATTATTTTGTAATATTTTAAGTGTTTATTGTTTGTATTTAGGTATGCATGCTGAATAATACTAACTTATTGAAATGTAATGGAGATTATTTTTCTACCACATGATTTTTATTTTGTATAGATAGTAGCAGGTATAAACTGGAAGCTGGAAATAGAGTTGAGCTGGACACTGTGCAGGAAGGAGGAAGGTGTCCAGGACTTGAGCAAATGTGAGAAGGACCCCAGTAAACCCAACAGTATTTGTGATGTTATTGTTTATGAAGTACCATGGCAGAACACTAGGAAAGTGACAAAAATGGAATGCAAGACTGTGGAAGAAAAGCAGTGAGTATAAAGTACCTATTCATCATTAGCCCAGACATGTACATATATTGGAAACATTGTTCTATTTACTCTCTTCCAATGATGTGATGTTTAATTCTTTGTCTTTGTAAATCATACCTCTCACACAAATGTCTAGTTTTTTGGAATTCATTTAGACTGAATAGATTTCTGGGAGGGGCCCCTTTGGCTCCCCGGAGCTATCCAGGCTGATATGGATATATTAGACTTTGGAATCAGTCAGTGTGAATGGAGTTCTATGGCCTACCGGGGACTACGAGGCAGAACCTGGCCCCCTCAGAGAGGCATGAGGAGCAATGACGTATAGAATTGCACATGTGATTTGGATCATTCTGTGTCTGCAATTGATTGCGTCAGGCATCCAGAAAGGTAAACATCCCAAAACAAACCCCTATTCTGGCTCAAACTACTTCTGAAAGTCAAACAAGTGGACAGAACTCCCCAAAGAAAAACAAGCAAATGAGCATGCCGTCATCACGTGCTGTGCTGCCATCTGTGCAGCTGCCCCCCTCCTCCAGGAGGGGGAGGTTTGTGTGCCTTAAGAGATCGTGACAGGTTATGTAGCTTTCGTCATTCTAATTCGAGCAGGTGCTTCTTTACTTCATCTCTGGTACTCTCAAGGTCCTCCACTGCTACTTGATTTTAGAATCACCTTCAAAGATCATGTTGCTCTCATTCCTTAGTGTATAGACCTGGACTTTGTTGAATTCCTTACACATGCACGTGTTGTTCTTCTAATAATAATAATCATTTTAATACTCAAGAGAATTCACAGTAACGTGATATATCAATGAGAAAATTAACAGGAGTTATGATGAAGATTCAAACCATGACTGTGTCATGGCCTATCGTCTTGAGCATGTGTCTGGGAATACCCAGCACATATGTTCGAATCCTCATTACGGCTTATGTGGATTTTCTCAATAATAATTATTATTATATACTCAAATGTACATAGATAAGAGGCATAAAAGAGGAAGATAAATAGGTAAGACAAGTACATTGCATAAAGTCACTAATACAAAGTGAGTGTTTTGAGCATAATTCATGATAAAATTTAGATTGTTTAATTGTTTGATGAGATAGACAATACTAACAAGAAGCAAGCTAACATAAAATATAATACAAGACATTTTGCAAATTATATATAGCTTTTAGGAAGGGCATCACACGAAAAGGAGTATGAGAAAGTTAATAGGTTTTATTAAGGCAAACACTACTTTATATTAACAGAGATACTGTATGGGAACATAATTGAGTTCTTGAAAGTTATGAAAATAATTGATAATTTAACAAGAATCTATAAACAACAGCTGCTTCAACAGTTCAAATAAAGTGATACATTTTCCGGAGTTTTTAATGTATAGTGAGGTAACAGTTGATTTAATTATTTATTTATATTATGTTTCCTAATATAGATATTTGTATATACAGTACTGTATGTTTTACAGGCGACATCGTCGTAACGAAGATTCTGTTAAACTGACAAACTTACAAACTAGCGGAGTGGTAGGGGGATATACTACAGTACAACTCCCTAATGAAGATGTCAGTAAAGTTGCCATGTTTGCTGTTCAGACTGTGGATGCAGGGACTAATGATCCTAATGTCAGGGTTGTTGAGAAAATCAACAGTGCAAGCAAACAGGTCAGTAAAATGCATTTGGTGTAGGAGATGCTACCAATTGTTTTATAATAATTTAAGTGTTTATTGTTTGCATTTGGGTATGTGTGCTGAATAATACTAACTCATTGAAATGTAATGGAGATTATATTACTAGTACATTATTTTATTTTGTATAGGTAGTAGCAGGTATAAACTGGAAGCTGGAAATAGAGTTGAGCTGGACCCTGTGCAGGAAGGAGGAAGGTGTCCAGGACTTGAGCAACTGTGAGAAGGACCCCAGTAAACCCAACAGTATTTGTGATGTTATTGTTTATGAAGTACCATGGCAGAACACTAGGGAAGTGACAAAAATGGAATGCAAGACTGTGGAAAACAAGCAGTGAGTATAAAGTACCTGTTCATCATTAGCCCAGACATGTACATATATTGAAAACATTGTTCTATTTTCCCTCTTCCAATGATGTGATGTTTAATTCCTTGTCTTTGTAAATCATACCTCTCAGACAAGGGTTCTAGTTTTTTAGGGATTGATTTAGACTATGAATAGATTTCTGGAAGGAGCCCCTTTGGCTCCTTGGAGCTATCCAGGCTGATATGGATATATTAGACATTAAATCAGTGTGTATGGCGTTCTTTGACCTACCGGGGACTACTAGCCAGAACCTGGCCCCCTCAGAGAGGCGTGATAAGCAATGACCTATAGAATTGTACATGTGATTTAGAGCATTGTGTGTCTGCCATTGATCGGGTCAGGCACCCAGAAAGGTAAACATCCTAAAAAAATTCCTATTCTGGCTGAAACTACTACTGAAAGTCAAAGAAGTGGACAGAACTCGCCAAAGAAAAACAAGAAAATGAGCATGCCGTCATCACATGCTGTGCTGCCATCTGTGCAGCTGCCCCCCTCCCCAGGAGGGGAAGGTTTGTGAGGGGCGAGTTTGTGTTCCTTAAGAGATCGTGACAGGTTATGTAGCTTTGGTCATTCTAATTCGAGCAGGTGCCTCTTTACTTCATCTCTGGTACTCTCAAGGTCCTCCACTGCTGCTTGATTTTAGAATCACCTTCAAAGATCAAGTTGCTCTCATTTCTTATTGTATAGACCTAGACTTTGTTGAATTCCTGATTCATGCACTTGTTCTTATAATAATAATAATAATAATAATAATAATAATTATTTTAATACACAAAGAATTCACAGTAACGTGCTATATGAATGAGAAAATTAATAGGAGTTATGATGTAGATTTAAACCATGACCGTGTCATGGCCTATCGTCTAGAGCATGTGTCTGGGAATACCCAGCACATAGGGTCGAATCCTCATCATGGCTCATGTGGATTTTCTTAATAATAATTATATACTCAAATGTACATAGATAAGAGGCATAAAAGAGGAAGATACATAGGTAAGACAAGTACATTGCATAAAGCCACTAATACAAAGTGAGTGTTTTGAGCATAACTCATGATAAAATTTAGATTCTTTAATTGTTTGATGAGATAGACAATACTAACGAGAAGCAAGCTAACATAAAATATAATACAAGACATTTTGCAAATTATATATACATTTGAGGAAGGGCATAACATGAAAAGAAGTATGAGAAAGTTAATAGGTTTTATTATGGAATACTCTACTTTATATAAACAGAGATACTGTATGGGAACATAATTGAATTCCTCAAAGTTATGAAAATAATTGATAATTTAACAAGAATCTATAAACAACAGCTGCTTCAACAGTTCAAATAAAGTGATACATTTTCCCGAGTATTTTTATGTATAGGGAGGTAACAGTTGATTTAATGATTTATTTATATTATGTTTCATGCTATATATTTGTAGATACAGTACTGTATGTTTTACAGCCGACATCGTCGTAACGAAGATTCTGGTCAACTGGCAAACTTACAACCTAGCGCAGTGGTAGGGGGATATACTACAGTACAACTCCCTAATGAAGACGTCAGTAAAGTTGCCTTGTTTGCTGTTCAGACTGTGGATGCAGGGACTAATGATCCTAATGTCAGGGTTGTTGAGAAAATCAACAGTGCAAGCAAACAGGTCAGTAAAATGCATTTGGTGTAGGGAATGCTACCAATTATTTTGTAATATTTTAAGTGTTTATTGTTTGTATTTAGGTATGTATGTTGAATAATACTAACTTATTGAAATGTAATGGAGATTATTTTTCTACCACATGATTTTTATTTTGTATAGATAGTAGCAGGTATAAACTGGAAGCTGGAAATAGAGTTGAGCTGGACACTGTGCAGGAAGGAGGAAGGTGTCCAGGACTTGAGCAACTGTGAGAAGGACCCCAGTAAACCCAACAGTATTTGTGATGTTATTGTTTATGAAGTACCATGGCAGAACACTAGGAAAGTGACAAAAATGGAATGCAGGACTGCAAATTGTGAACTTTAAGAAGATTCAGTTATAAAGGTTAGACATGATCCTTTGGCTTGTTTGTCTCATCACTATTTAACGGCTTTGTTCCTTTTGTTAATATTTATCTATATCCTGGAATTGTTATGCTCAAATGCAGTTATTATTTTGTAGTTAATGTATGTGTTTTTCTCACTCATTATATAGCATGATGCAATGTTGCCTTATGTCACCAAGATATTTCGAATCTTTTTTTTTTTTTTTTTTTATTTCATAGTACAGTATTTGATATCAGTTTTATATTTACCAACAAGGCCCAGCTGCTGTACCTATTCACAGTTTCTTTCTAAATGTTTTATTTGTATTGTGCACTCTTCGTTGTGTTATGTTTGCCGAGCATTCATTTTTCTAATGTTTTCACACATTGTATTATCATTTTCATTAGATACTGTAGTATCAATATATAGAATTGCACATTAAATAAAATTGCCCAATGATTGCCATCGATGTTGTCATAGAAATTTTACATATTTCAAGCCAGTTTATTTCTGAATATTATGAGGAGGAATGTGAAGAACATTATTCACTAAACAAGCACACCTACCAAACTGATTTAAGGGAAGATAATAAGCAAATGGTGTCACCACAAAATAATAGAAAGTACAATTATGATACCAAGACACCATTTTCCTTTCTGTTTTAATTATTAGCATAACGGAGGAGGAATAAACTTAGAGTAGAGGAAGGACTATAGATTATTTTTGGTGTTGCGATCTGATGATTTGTGTTTACCTGTGTGTATGTTTACAACATCACCTTTCACAATCCAAAATTACCTAATATTATGGACTCGTGTTGAACAGAGGCTTCTCATGTTCTCTTGTATTAGCTTATTAATTTGTTTACATTTTATTGTAACTCTTATCTTAAGTTGTTTGCTAATCCCCAAAATTCACTTTATAGTTATATAATTTAACAGATAAGATTATATATGACAATGTATATTGATATTCTTGTATTTAATGATTCTCTGCACTAATTTGTCATTGTGATGCATGATGCTTTATGGAATAATATTTCCCCGCTTGTGGTTGTGGTTAGTTTGAGGTGTTTAAACACCGCCAGAATACTAACAAAGGATTAATTAGACCTAATTATTTTCTGAACAGTTAAGTACTATATAGATTTTTTGTGTTGCCAGTTTTTTTCACTACCTTTTATAATATAATTTGACAGACAATTTATTGCCAAAAGCATTTTCACTTATTCAACGTGAGTTACAATGTGTCAGATTTTGTGTTATAAGGAAACCTTCAAATACATTGATACTTTGTGTGGATTTACAAGCAATTCAGAATTTTCAATGTAAAAATAAATTAACCTCATTATTGTTAGTTTTTATTTATATTTGTTAATTTATCAGTATTGCATAATATTAATCTTTCTGCAATTAAATCTTCAAAATATAGATGCATGAACTATTTTGAAAAGTCAGTGTTGTTTGTATTTAGAATCCTTCAAACCAATAATCCTTTTTAGCATTTAATCCTCAAATGCCTTTGTGGAAGGAAATAACTATTCAAGACCTGGACCCAGCCTGGAATCCCTTAGCTATCTTTGATTCTGGTAATTAACTTAGACCTTGGAAATCAGCACGAAGAGAAAATCAAACCTTACGTTGAAAATGTAGTCTACTCGAGCATGATTGGATAGCAAACATCCCAGGGAGCATTAGAGTAACAGTGCGACATCCTACACAGAATGCACAACATGCTGCTGCTCAACTGTGCAAGTCCATTGCTAAGAATCAGAACATTCACAAAGAATTTTTTTTTTTTTTGATGGCAGTAAAAAGTTTGTATAGTTTCAGTTCATTAATAAAAAATGCATTTATGTTTTTGCAAATACTGTACTGTAAATGGTAACAACAAAAACATTTCTTTCATCTAGTATACTAAGTTTTATTCACCATATTTTTTAAACCATTTCTGTAACAATATATAAAATTATTCACTTTTATTGCAACTTAAAAAAATCAATTACAATATTTAGAATAAAGCCTAAAATGTGCACATTGTTTTGATCAGTTGTATAATAATTTTAATGAAATTATCAGTAAAGTTTTCTGCGAGTGCCCTGAAGATGGTGCTTACACTTTGCCAAGGCCTCCAACACAAAGGGCAAGGACAAAGTTTGAAATGATTTATATAAGTGGAACCTCTATTAACGAGTTTAATCCGTTCTGGCACCGAGCTCGTTATCTGGAAAACTCGTCTTAAGAAACAAATTTCCCCATTTAAAATAAAGGAAATAAATTTAATCCGTTCCACTCCCAAAAACATCCATACTTGTATGACATTTTTTTATGTAAATATAATACTGCACATGTAATTATAAATGTTTTGTTATACTGTTTTAATGTTTACTTTACCTTATGAAGAGTAGTTGCTGGCTTGAGGGAGACGATGGGGAGGTGGGAAGGAGGAGAGGGGTTATGGTGTGGAAGGAGAATCCACCTCTGAGTCAGGCGGACTCTCTCTTCTTGGGAATTTCACCCAAATTTCATTTCAAATGTCACACAAGGATGCGTTAGACCAGCACCAAATAAAAAACTACGTCGATTACACTCGTCGTGTCAACAATACAATGGTCTTACCACGAAGATACAATACAATGCCATTCTCCCAAATAGGCTATGTGGCTATTAGAGAAAACGGAAATTTCATGGCAAACATGTTTATACTATCCCCAAGTCGATCGGATAAGAATTGGATTTTATAGAAATATTTGCTCAAATGACACTTGAGCGCAGTGTTTGGGTGCATTCAAGAGAAAAAAGTGTGTCACGTTCAAGCGACATATACCTGCGAAAGTGATAACACTTTCACAAAGTGTTATCACAAAGTGATAAATTAATTAAACATTTTCACACACCGGGTTGTCACTGCTTTATCAGAGCAGCTTTTCCAAGAATGCGTTCACCTTTTCAAACATTCCCAACACTTCCCTGATCTCAGTGGAAGAGGCAGCATCCTCCCTTACCTCCTCATTCCCTTACTAATGGTGTAAATTGTTGATGAGGACCTGCCATACTCCCTTGTGAGATCAGTCACACAGACACCACACTCATGCTTTGCTATAATTTCCTTCTTCAAATCCACAGTAATTGTGTCTTTCTTCCTCTTGACAACACTATCTTTAGCAAGCAGCTTCTTTGGCGACATCGTGCGTTACAAATTGTAGTCACAAAACCACTCAAAACCCAACGAAAAGTGCAAATAAATCCAGAGGGATGCTTGTCATGTGTGATACAACAACAACACTGGCGTCGGAGGCGTCCGAGAATTTGCAAGAACCCGCGAGACGCTAGGAAGCACCATGTGGTTTTGCTCGTTAATAGAGGTGAAGCTCGTCAATAGAGACAAATTTGCTGCGAGTGGCTCGCTCATTACTGGAAATGCTCGTTAATAGAGCCGCTCGTTAATCGAGGTTCCACTGTACTTGTAATATTTCTTATGCTTGCTGGGAGGACGTTGAACAACCGCGGACCTCTGATGTTTATACAGTGTTCTCTGATTGTGCCTATGGCACCTCTGCTCTTCATTGGTTCTATTCTACATTTTCTTCCATGTCGTTCACTCCAGTACGTTGTTATTTTACTGTGTAGATTTGGTACTTGGCCCTCCAGTATCTTCCAGGTGTATATTATTTGATATCTCTCTCGTCTTCTTTCTAGTGAGTACATTTGGAGGGCTTTGAGACGATCCCAATAATTTAGGTGCTTTATTGCGTCTATGCGTGCCGTATATGTTCTCTGTATTCCCTCTATTTCAGCAATCTCTCCTGCTTTGAAGGGGGAAGTGAGTACTGAGCAGTACTCAAGACGGGACAACACAAGTGCCTTGAAGAGTACAACCATTGTGATGGGATCCCTGGATTTGAAAGTTCTCGTAATCCATCCTATCATTTTTCTGGCTGTCGCAATATTTGCTTGGTTATGCTCCTTAAACGTTAGGTCGTCAGACATTATTATTCCCAAATCCTTTACATGCTGTTTTCCTACTATGGGTACATTTGATTGTGTTTTGTACTCTGTATTATGTTTAAGGTCCTCATTTTTACCGTACCTGAGTACCTGGAATTTATCACTGTTAAACATCATGTTATTTTCTGATGCCCAGTCGAAAACTTTATTAATATCAGCTTGAAGTTTTTCAATGTCCTCAGCCGAGGTAGACTTAGAGAATTGTAATTGACATTGGTCAGATAGAACAGTTGGGGAGTAATCAAGCTGAGGTAGTCCATATACGGATACTTACATAATAATTAGAGACATATGCAGTACATCAAATGACAATTGCAAAGCATAGAAATTATGCACCGGAGGCCTGGGTGATGACCAGGCCGTGGGGACGCTAAGCCCTGAAATCGACACAAGTTAACTGTCACGTAACACCATCTGGTCTAGTATTAAGTGACCTAGGTAGGAATTTGTAGTGTCATATAGAACTATAGTGTAATATAACTGTAATTACCCAAATTAAGTCTTGTCTCTTATTTTGGTTAATTCTTTGATTTTAATTATTAAAACCATCAAAAATTATAAATACCCAGTAAGTACTTTAATATACTATATCACTTCTCAAGCTACAAGTGTGTTTAGCATCAGAGATTCCTCTGTGAACATATGTAAGCAATAAGGGCATAAAAACTAAAAACTGTTTAATGATAGTTCTATTTGTTAACCATTCAGATACAGTCCTGGGGAGATAGAGAACACTTTCTCCTCATTACCCTAACAATCTCAGAAGCATTGTGCAGAGAATATCTACACCTCCAAGCATTCACAACAGAAAAGGCTCTATATACATGTTTAAACAGCTGGAAGTATAAAACAAAGCTCTACAAGAATGTCTCCATCCGGTCTTTGGCACACGACCCTAGCATTGGGTTTTTAAAAGAAGTAGGCTATAGTATGTGTGACATTAGAACATCACACCGATTCAATATTATTTGCAGTCTTTAATATAATATTTGGCAAGATAATTAATTACAGAGTTATAACCGATTCAACATTATTTGCAGTCTTTAATATAATATTTGGCAAGATAATTAATTACAGAGTTCTAGCATGTAAATAAATATGCAGTAAAATAATAATCACAATTCTTATGAACTGTTATTTTGCAAAAAATAGCTTATTTCAAAAATTAAAAAATCTAAATTTATATACATCAGTACTTTTAAAAATCTGAGCTCACAAAAAATTATAAGGTCCAAATTATAATAATTACATTTAACAAGACTGAGCTAAATTATCACTTAAAATTTATTAATTGTTTCAAGATATTCTGTTGTCAAGACCTAAATTCATGCAGCTCTTATACCTCACTTTAGGGCATTGATCAGATGTTCTATCTAGTAAATAAATCTTTTTGGTAAATTTGTACATACACGAATCCCTGTACAAGAAAGGGTAAGCTGGAGGAAATATTTATTTCATGGGCCTTGACACTAAGTCTACAATCTTTGTATTTTTTCTGTGGGAAGCACACACACAATACCATATTTTCTAGCAAAAATGTGTATGGTATTGTATACCTGCCACCAAGATACTGAACAGATAACCAAAGCAGCAAATCATGCAACATGCCTGGAAAATTAATTCTCTTAATAAATTTGATAAATTTTGATAAATAAATTTATCAATTTGAAAAATTTGTAAATGCCAAGTATCACTAAATTGTGCAATATTTTCAATAAAAGTGCATGAAGCAGGTTTTTAACATCTAGACTGACTATGCACTATTATATTGCATCATGTTAACTACAGGCTAACATTTGGCAATGTATTGCATAAATTGGTCAACTAATTACAGTATTGTGTAATATATTTCAAATTAAAGCATCTGAGTCATCCAAGAAATCTGAGTACATATTGTACACAGTTTACTCTTATCATATTAAAAACTACATAACCTTCAGGCGCTTCTCCAAACTGTTTTTAAATAAAAATGAGGACCTTTGATCCTCCATTTCACGAAGACCCGTACAATGTGGCAAGAGTGAGACGGTGGAGGGCGCTGGACGAGTGCGTTTGTTCTCTGGTCTGGCAGGCAAGCCTCGAGGAATGACCTGCTGTTGGGTCAGCCAAAACTAAATGCTTCTAATTACTTAAGCTTTCTTACGGTATTTTAAACATGAAATTAATATTAAATAAGTTTATAAGTATAAAAATTCAGTATAGTACTGTAAAAATGTCTTGCTGGTCATATCCTTAATGAAAATTCAATGAAATTCTAAACAATAACACTCCTAACTCAAGTATATTTTAAAATATTGGGCTACATAGAATTTTCAACAAATGCTACAGTACTATTAAATAATAAATGAAAATAACAATTTAAGTAACTCCATTTACATTAGTTACATTAGAGTATGCATTAAATAAATACACTGCACTGTCCTCAACAGGGGTAATATTGCACCAATGTTTTTAATCATATACTGTATACAGAACTTGTGACTTCACAAATTTATATATGCTAACATATACTAAGACCCTTCTTCATCAAATTAAAGGAATCCTGCTATATTTAAAAGGACACTTAAATTGTTAGCAAAATTTACCTGAACAATAAATATTAATTAAAATGGGAAAAAAAGTGACATTAATGTAACTGAAAATAAATAACCCAACCTACACATGAATTGAAAGAAAAGTGACGACATTTCAGTCCAACCTGGAATCTCATCAAGTCTAAACTAGGAAATAAAAAGGCAGAAGTTATTTTAAGTCAAGAGAAGAGGCAAAGTGGAAAAAGTAAAGCAAGAAATCATGCTCAAAGCGCCTCCCTACGAGATGAAAAGACAAATTAAGGTAGGTAGAGAATTGTAGAAGAAACAAATAAGGAGAAATAAAAGAGCTAAATTATAAACACAGATAGGGGGACAGAAAAGCACAGAGGAATAAACATCTAAAGTCAGATCATGCTTTTTAAATTGATTAGAACATTTAAATATGTATTGAGAAAGGCAAGAGTCAACAGGAACAAAGCCTGTCCTAAGGTTCAAGTTGGACATGTTGTTTGAGAGTTAGTTCAACAAAACAGCCTTTCTGGAAAGTATAAGTGGGAAAATTTATTTTGGAAGACTAAACTATAGAAAAATTAGTTCCCAACATAATAGAAGGGAACAATGCTTGTGTCATTAAGTTTAAAATGTCTTTTGTGTTTTTTTAAGGCTGTTGTTAAGCATATGACCAGTTCCACTAAAGTATTGGAGAGGCCAAGAGGAGCAAAAAAGTTCATGGATACCAGTAGAGGTGTGAACCAGATTACCAAAAAGTATGTTAATTTGTTGACGGCAAGTTTTATATCAAGAAGACAAAGGGTATCCAAGATATTTTTAAGTTCAAATATGAAGGGAAGGTACAGGAGTTCTAGTATTGGAAGAAGGTTTAACATGAAAGAATTATTTTAGCTTGAGATTAGGGGCAGTTTATAAAATTTAGGGGATGGCCATGGCAAGAGAATGACTTGTAAAGTGAAATTTCAGAATAAAAAACCGAGGGGGTCACAGATGCATAAGGCATAGAGGAAGAGGGAGATGAGAACACTTCTTAGTAGAAGAAGAATGGTAGGAAAGAAATTAATGAACAGTACATACCATTATGTATGTACAGTATTTATTTTATGACGTGTTATTATTTAGACCTGTATTTTATTAAAAGGTGAAAATCTTTCCCTCAAAATATTACAGAACTTACTGAATGTGCTAAATCATAAATAGCACACCTTTATATCAGAAAGTTTAGCCAGGAATTGATCTCAAGAAGGGTCAACTTTAGAAAATAAATTTGTTTGCCAGTTTTGTAAGTACTGTATACCATTAATATAAAGATATGTACAAAAAAAGTAATCAATTATCAGTAATATGACAATGAATACAAACATTATATATTTACATATTTGGAAAACATGCTTACAAACTATGGTACAGTATATATATGTAAAAATATTACAGGATTGAAAGACGAAAGATCACTACCTATAGTAACACCTGGCATGGCAACTACCCCTAGTAACATCTGACATGCAACTACCTATAGTAACACCTGGCATGGCAACTACCCCTAGTAACACCTGGCATGGCAACTACCTATAGTAACACCTGGCATGGCAACTACCCCTAGTAACACCTGGCATGGCAACTACCCCTAGTAACACCTGGCATGGCAACTACCCCTAGTAACAAGTGACATGGCAACTACCCCTAGTAACATCTGACATGCAACTATCCCTAGTAACATCTGACATGCAACTATCCCTAGTAACACCTGGCATGGCAACTAACCCTAGTAACACCTGGCATAGCAACTACCCCTAGTAACACCTGCCATGGCAACTATCCCTAGTAACACCTGGCATAGCAACTATCCCTAGTAACACCTGGCATGGCAACTATCCCTAGTAACACCTGGCATAGCAACTATCCCTAGTAACACCTGGCATGGCAACTACCCCTAGTAACATCTGACATGGCAACTACCCTTAGTAACATCTGACATGGCAACTATCCCTAGTAACAACTGACATGGCAACTACCCCTAGTAACAACTGACATGGCAACTACCCCTAGTAACATCTGACATGGCAACTACCCCTAGTAACAACTGACATGGCAACTACCACTAGTAACACCTGGCATGGCAACTACCCCTAGTAACACCTGGCATGGCAACTACCCCTAGTAACATCCTGCATGGCAACTACCCCTAGTAACATCTGGCATGGCAACTACCCCCTAGTAATATCTTGCATGGCAACTAAACCTAGTAATATCGGGCAAGGCAACTACCCCTAGTAACATCTTGCATGGCAACCACCCCTAGTAACATCTGACATGGCAACTACAGTACCCCCTAGTAATATCTTGCATAGTAACTAAACCTAGTAATATCTGGCATAGCAACTATACCTATGGTATCTATGGTAGTTACTATCTAGCATAGCAACTACCCCCTAGTATTATCTGGCACAGTAACTACAACTAGTATTATCTGGCACAGGAACTACAACTAGTATTATCTGGCACAGTAACTACAACTAGTATTATCTGGCACAGTAACATTATGCCAGATAATACCCATTATTAAAATGGGTAGTAAATGTGTGCATACAAGAACAATTGTACCATTAAGTATATATTTACAATTCAGTAGTTGCAGAGGCTCCATGCAATAAAGTTATACAATACTGTATAACTTGATAATGAATGATCATGTAATGATTAAGTTCTCTTCGTTTCTAATATATTTATACTTAAGTTAAAGCTCTCCATCGCTATGCATAGAGAAGGGATGGGAGAAAGTCATTCAAATACATCATGCACGAATGTTCAATTTTATGTTTAACTACATTTACACTACAGGAAGTAAGCAAAAATAGAAGATTATATGAATTAAACCCCCCTAAATTAGTGCTTTACATGTAACAGCATATAATTAATTAATAAATTTAGCAATTTTTTGTATTTAAGATCAAATGCACTCCATTTATAAGTTCATAACCCTATGCATGAGAAATGTGTTTGTTACTAGTTTGTGCAGTCACTAAATTTTGTAGTTGCCGGTTGTCACAAGAGTCAAGATTCTGGCCACACAAGGACCTTAAGTCCTTGTGAGTATGAACGTAATGAGAGGCAAAAAGACTATGTATATATACAGAGACGGAAAATATCCTACAGGCATGAAGTTCTCACCTGTGCCATATACAGGCATGAAGTTCTCACCTGTGCCATATACAGGCATGAAGTTCTCACCTGTGCCATATACAGGCATGAAGTTCTCACCTCTGGCATATACAGGCATGAAGTTTAATACAAGTCTGGAACAGTCTGGAACTTTCACATTTGGAATCCCCCGCAGTACAACAGTCAGTTCTGCACATATGCAGAGCATTGTATGACTAACCATCCTGTGAGATGGGAATATTAGATGAACTTGTAGATAGTTTTTTATCTACACTGTGTAATCTTTCATATAGAATAGGGTAGCAGCACATTGCTGTCTATACCTAAGCTTGTTAATAAAATATAAAAAAATTGTCTTAGCAGGAAAGCATCATACCCAGAACAGTGTAAACAGCAACGAAATATATATTTAATAAGTATATTCAGCGCTGGAAAATATATAGAAACAAGTGTTAAATGTTGAAAAACAGCCTGGAATTTTGTAAGACATAAATGAATTATTGGGAGATATAAATGTGTTTGAAATATTAGTCCTAAGAGTCCGGGTTCGATCCCCAGTAGAGGCGAAAACAAATGGGCAGAGTTTCTTTCCCCCTAATGAACCTGTTCACCTAGCAGTAAATAGGTACCTGGGAGTTAGACAGCTGCTACGGGCTGCTTCCTGGGGATGTGTGTGTGAAAATTAGGATTAAGGACTTGTCCGAAATGTTATGCATGCTAGTAGCTGTACAAGAATGTAAGAACTCTTGTGTGTGTGTGTGTGTGTGTGTGTGTGTGTAAATCACGAAAATTAACATGTGATGAAAAATGTGACAGTGTCAAACCACGGAGAAAGAATTGAAACAGGAATTTCCTTAAGTACTTTCATATATTAATACATCTTCAGAAGGATTCCTTCTGAAGATTCATCACATGTTAATTTTTGTGATTTACACACACACACACACACACACAACTGAATAAGAAATTCCAGGAGGTCTTCACCGTAGAGCAAGGAGAGATTCCCGAGATAAGAGAGGGAATAGTTAACCAGGAACCACTAGAAGAGTTTGAGATTACCAGTGGGGAAGTAAAGAAGTGTTTACTAGAGTTGGATGTGACAAAGGCTATAGGCCCAGATGGAATCTCCCCTTGGATATTAAGGGAAGGAGCAGAAGCACTGTGCCTGCCACTCTCCATAGTGTATAACAAATCACTGGAAACAGGGGAACTGCCAGAAATTCGGAAGGCAGCTAATGTAGTTCCAATATACTGTATAAGAAAGGGGATAGGCAGGAGGCACTGAACTACAGGCCAGTGTCCCTAACCTGCATACCATGCAAGCTGATGGAGAAGATTGTGCGAAGAAAGCTAGTGGAACATCTGGAGCGAAAGAACTTTGTAACACAGCATCAACATGGGTTCAGGGATGGCAAGTCCTGCCTCACAGGGCTAATTGAATTCTACGACCAGGCAAGAAAGAGAGGGGTGGGCAGACTACATATTTTTGGATTGTCAAAAAGCCTGTGATACAGTACCACACAAGAGGCTAGTGAGAAAGCTGGAGATGTAGGCTGGAGTGAAAGGGAAGGTACTCCGTTGAATACGGGAGTACCTAAGCAACAGAAGACAAGGAATCACTGAGAGGGGCGAGGTCTCGGATTGGCGAGACGTTACGAGTGGAGTCCCGCAGGGGTCAGTCCTTGGACCTATACTGTTTCTGATATATGTAAATGATCTCCCAGAGGGTACAGAATCGTTTCTCTCAATGTTTGCCGATGATGCAAAAATTATGAGGATTGAAACTGAGGATGATAGTAGGAGGCTACAGGACGACCTAGACAGACTGAATAAATAGTCCAACAAATGGCTGTTAAAGTTTAACCCGAGTAACTGCAAAGTAATGAAACTAGGTGGTGGAAACAGTTGGCCAGACAAAGATTTAGTGACGAGGTGGACCAGCACCGTCTGGAGTGCATCCACAACGCGAGCGACAATAGCGTCAACAAGATCGGGACTAAGCTGAATGGCGGGTGGGAAAGAAGAAGCCGCAGGGGCGAGAGGAACGTCAGTGACAAATGGGTCAGGCACAGGCAATGGCGGCGGCGGAGAGGGAAGCGGTGGGTAACAAGGAACCGGGGCAGGAAAAGCACGACTGGAGGGAGGAATGACGACAGGAAGAGCCTTAGTGAGCGCCGCAACGTAGGAAGGACACTGCTTGAAAATGGTGGCATGATCACCACTACAGTTGGGGCAGACCTTAATATTGCACACCTCACGCTTCCTGTCCTTGGTGGAGCAGGTCTTTATGAAGACAGCCGTTATGCCGTCCTACAATACACATTTAGTTTCATAACGTCTACAGGACTACATCGACACATATGAGCTGTGACTTGTCCCCCTGCTGGCTGTTATATACCACCATCAAGGGAATATATTCTCACCGACTTCTCAAATTTGGACTGGCAGGGTACATACGGCTTAGTCCTGTCGCTGCCCTTCATACCAACAATACCAAGACCCCCTAGTGGCGCTGACCACCTGGCGACACCCAAATATCCCTGACAAGGCAGGCACCGGCCAACCCCCCAACCCCCTCCCCCCACACACACATATACAAAGTTACAACTCCGGCAGAGCAATATGTGCCAGGCGGCACATATATCGCCATGGGTTGCAACAGAACGTAATACAATTACCCAATGAGCAGCAAAAACAAAACGTTCTCCGGCGATCCCCAGGCGGATCAAAAGTCAGGCATCCATACAACGTCAAGGTTGAACCACGAATCGGATATGTCCAAACAACAGCCTGTTGGATCAAGCTTGACCTTAGACCAGGCTTGGGGAGTAAAAAAAATTCCTATAACCCCTTTCAAGTACAATTACCATGCCAGGAGAGGGAAAAAGATTGCTTAAATTTACGAGAACTTATAAATAGGTACAACTGCTTGTTTGCACAATTAAGTTATAATGGAAACTTACAATTTATTTGTGAATTGCCTCATTAACATAATTATTCCACTTGTGAAACGGAGCTACAGTTAATACTGTTAATTAATACATGGAATTATAAAATATATTATATTCATGATGCACAACAAACAACACTATCTTCACACAAATTCTGAGATTCCAGAACAGTCTCGAGTTCATATTATATGTTCCAAGGAGTAATACTGTTCATCAAGTTTAACTTCAACCTCCATGAAGAAAAGGATATACTGACCCAACTTGAGAGATTTTTGTTATCGCATTATAATTCAAAATAACATATTCTGTACCACAGTGATATATTAAATAAAATTTATGGATTTTTAAACTCATTCCATAAAATTTATGGATTGAGTTTAATATCTTGTTATAATAGTGGCTCAAACACCATAACATTTGGAAAGTTTAGAGCTTGGCTTCATCATCAGGTAGACTGCTGGCAGTGGAGCCATTCTTGGTGACCCAGTGCTCCCGGTCCATCAGTACCTGCTCCTCGTCTATACCGTTATTCACATCATCGTAATCGCCATCACTCTCTTCACTATCAACACTGCCTTCACCATCCTCATGGATTTTATTTCTCTTCAGTTCTTCTTTGGAGGAGTTTTCTTGAGCTTTTTTCTGTGGGTCTGAGAACACGCTGTCGTTCGCCGCTGAGCTGCTATGACCTTCGGGTATTGCTGTCAATCTACCTTGAATGGCAGCGCCCTGGGGAACGACAGCTGCTGGATCAGCCTCCGAAGCAGAGGAATCAAATTGATTTACTGGCTTAGAGGACGTATAATTAGGTTGTGGCTTAGATGAAACGCTCGCTTTTTCCCAGAAGAATCTCCGGCCATGATGTGCCTTGAACCGTGGGAAGACTCGAGCAAGGCATTCCACATACGCATCTCTGTACTGGCGGTTCATAAACACATACACCACCACGTTGAGGCAGTACTGCACCCAGTACAACACGTGCAGAAGTAAGAAGCGAACAGGGAACTTGACTTTCGTATCAATAGCATGAACACAGGCCACCGGCACACTGCAGACGAGGACGAGCAGGAATATGATGAAGATGGTGCGAGCGACTCTCATGTCCCTGCGGTTGGTGGTCAAGCGCTGGCTGACGTTGGAAGACTGGTGGGTGCTGCCAAAACAAGTCACACCAAGTTACACACAAACAGAAATTTGCAGCAAAACTGTACTCCACAATCATACAACCTTCAGCTATATTTAACACCATAAGTACAGGCTTCATATACAGTACATAAATAACATTCATAAACTTGACTGAAAAATGATCATATACATATACTGGCAATTTTATCTATTGTTTACAACATGCAATGTAAGTTTCATACAATATAAACAAAATACAATGCAATGAGTGTATAATTCATAACACCAGAGTTAGCTTACTCACCTCTTCCCATTGAGTAACCTTGCCGCATGAAGGCTAAAGGGGCAAAAGCGATCAAAATATGTTAGAAATGTCAAGCAGCATTAGCAAAACATTCTATCTAGTCCCACATGTCTGCTCCTGAGCTGGAGAGTAATTTGACATTCAAAACATTCTACAAAGAAATATTTATTTGATATGGAATGCCAAGGATTGACAAAATGCACATACCCACGATCAGTCACATCAACGTTTCCTAATTTGGAATAAAGATACTTAATTTATGAAGCAAATATCAAAATCACAGCTGGAAAACATTTGAGTGTGTGTTTGTGTGTTTGTGTTACGTTAGTGGTGTGTGTGTGTGTGTGTGTGTGTGTGTGTGTGTGTGTGTGTGTGTGTGTGTTACGTTAGTGGTGTGTGTGTGTGTGTGTGTGTGTGTGTGTTAGGTTAGTGGTGTGTGTGTGTGTGTGTGTGTGTGTGTGTGTGTGTGTGTGTGTGTGTGTGTGTGTGTGTGTGTGTTACGTTAGTGGTGTGTGTGTGTGTGTGTGTGTTACGTTAGTGGTGTGTGTGTGTGTGTGTGTGTGTGTGTGTTACGTGTGTGTGTGTGTGTGTGTGTGTGTGTTACGTTAGTGGTGTGTGTGTGTGTGTGTGTGTGTGTGTGTGTGTGTGTGTGTGTGTGTGTGTGTGTGTGTGTGTGTTATCGGCCTGTTAGTGGTGTGTGTGTTACTAGTTGTGTTTTTGCGGGGGTTGAGCTTTGCTCTTTCGGCCCGCCTCTCAACTGTCAATCAACTGTTTTACTAACTACTATTTTTTTTTTTTTTTTTTCACACACCACACACACCCCAGGAAGCAGCCCGTGACAGCTGACTAACTCCCAGGTACCTATTTACTGCTAGGTAACAGGGGCACTTAGGGTGAAAGAAACTTTGCCCATTTGTTTCTGCCTCGTGCGGGAATCGAACCCGCGCCACAGAATTACGAGTCCTGCGCGCTATCCACCAGGCTACGAGGCCCCTCCACCAGGCTACGAGGCCCCATGTGTGTGTGTGTGTGTGTGTTATCGGCCTGTTAGTGGTGTGTGTGTGTTATCGGCCTGTTAGTGGTGTGTGTGTGTGTTATCGGCCTGTTAGTGGTGTGTGTGTGTGTTATCGGCCTGTTAGTGGTGTGTGTGTGGCCTGTGTGTGTGTGTGTGTTATCGGCCTGTTAGTGGTGTGTGTGTGTGTGTGTTATCGGCCTGTTAGTGGTGTGTGTGTGTGTGTTATCGGCCTGTTAGTGGTGTGTGTGTGTGGAGTATGCTAACTGAAAGAAAGTCTGCATTGTATGTTGGAGTCTAGTTGCAATTTTTTGTTTGGAAGCTCAAGCAATTAAACACTAAAATAGTTTGATTTTGTAAATGGTTACCATAAAAAAAGATAAAAATACTATGTATCCATTCAATAATTAACATTATGATGCCAATAAGCATAACAGCATTTATTTATAATAGAAATCAATAGTACAAAATGGGGACTATTTTAGGTGCCATAACCCATATTTTATACGTCTGTCCTATTAGCCCCTATTTGTACAGTGGAGCCTCAAATAGCTTCGGCTATGACCTTCTTTTGACTGGTCATGATGGTCGAGTGGATTAAGGTGTCATGTACACACCAGTTGCGTTGCTCCTGGCAGTATGGGTTCGAGTTACTTCTGGGGTGTGAGTTTTCAGTTGCATATAGTCCTGGGGACCATTCAGGCTTGTTCGCATATATATATATATATATATATATATATATATATATATATATATATAATATACTGTATAGTGACACTCCACACGTTGCACTAGTTAAATTAAAGACTATAAGAGATGGGGGAGAACAGATGGAGGTAACTTATATTAAACAAAAGCTTAACTTTAAAACAAAACCACAAAGAGAAAGAATAACAAGGAGGACATGTATAAAGTGTGAGGAAACTGGATGAACACAAAGTAAAACAATATAACTACGAGACAAACAAGAGATAACTACAATAAAGTATCAAAGACATTTTTATAGCAAACATTTTGTTTGACAAATCTTTACTAAGATCTGTTTGCTGACGGCAGCTGGTGTGGAGGACAGTGTCAAGGTGTAGGCAGCTGGTGTAGAGGACAGTGTTCAAGGTGTAGGCAGCTGGTGTGGAGGACAGTGTTCAAGGTGTAGGCAGCTGGTGTGGAGGACAGTGTTCAAGGTGTAGGCAGCTGGTGTGGAGGACAGTGTTCAAGGTGTAGGCAGCTGGTGTGGAGGACAGTGTCAAGGTGTAGGCAGCTGGTGTGAAGGACAGTGTCAAGGTGTAGGCAGCTGGTGTGGAGAACAGTGTCAAGGTGTAGGCAGCTGGTGTAGAGGACAGTGTTCAAGGTGTAGGCAGCTGGTGTAGAGGAGAGTGTTCAAGGTGTAGGCAGCTGGTGTGAAGGACAGTGTCAAGGTGTAGGCAGCTGGTGTGGAGGACAGTGTCAAGGTGTAGGCAGCTGGTGTGGAGAACAGTGTCAAGGTGTAGGCAGCTGGTGTGGAGGACAGTGTCAAGGTGTAGGCAGCTGGTGTGGAGGACAGTGTTCAAGGTGTAGGCAGCTGGTGTAGAGGACAGTGTCAAGGTGTAGGCAGCTGGTGTAGAGGACAGTGTTCAAGGTGTAGGCAGCTGGTGTAGAGGACAGTGTTCAAGGTGTAGGCAGCTAGTGTGGAGGACAGTGTTCAAGGTGTAGGCAGCTGGTGTGGAGGACAGTGTTCAAGGTGTAGGCAGCTGGTGTGGAGGACAGTGTCAAGGTGTAGGCAGCTGGTGTGAAGGACAGTGTCAAGGTGTAGGCAGCTGGTGTGGAGAACAGTGTCAAGGTGTAGGCAGCTGGTGTAGAGGACAGTGTTCAAGGTGTAGGCAGCTGGTGTAGAGGAGAGTGTTCAAGGTGTAGGCAGCTGGTGTGAAGGACAGTGTCAAGGTGTAGGCAGCTGGTGTGGAGGACAGTGTCAAGGTGTAGGCAGCTGGTGTGGAGAACAGTGTCAAGGTGTAGGCAGCTGGTGTGTAGAACAGTGTCAAGGTGTAGCCAGCTGGTGTGAAGGACAGTGTCAAGGTGTAGGCAGCTGGTGTGAAGGACAGTGTTCAAGGTGTAGGCAGCTGGTGTGGAGGACAGTGTCAAGGTGTAGGCAGCTGGTGTGGAGGACAGTGTTCAAGGTGTAGGCAGCTGGTGTGGAGGACAGTGTCAAGGTGTAGGCAGCTGGTGTAGAGGACAATGTTCAAGGTGTAGGCAGCTGGTGTGGAGAACAGTGTTCAAGGTGTAGGCAGCTGGTGTAGAGGACAGTGTTCAAGGTGTAGGCAGCTGGTGTGAAGGACAGTGTCAAGGTGTAGGCAGCTGGTGTGGAGGACAGTGTCAAGGTGTAGGCAGCTGGTGTGAAGGACAGTGTTCAAGGTGTAGGCAGCTGGTGTAGAGGACAGTGTTCAAGGTGTAGGCAGCTGGTGTGGAGGACAGTGTCAAGGTGTAGGCAGCTGGTGTGGAGGACAGTGTCAAGGTGTAGGCAGCTGGTGTGAAGGACAGTGTTCAAGGTGTAGGCAGCTGGTGTAGAGGACAGTGTTCAAGGTGTAGGCAGCTGGTGTGGAGGGCAGTGTCAAGGCGTAGGCAGCTGGTGTAGAGCAGTGTAGTTCAAGAGCTGGCTCTCAACACATGAAAGAGAAACGCAAGATGCAAGACAAGCCAATAACTGTATCAAAGATTAGCATAAAACTGGAAACAAAGCCAGACAACCGCTGACCCTCAAGTTTAACACGCTAACTTCATCCTTACAATCTGGAGCGCAGGTTAGACTCAGAAACGAGCCGCTTGAGGCTTCTGAAACTTGAATTCGAGTCCTTCCTCTGGCCGGCGGAGGTGGAGGTGGTGGAGGTGGAGGCGATGGAGCTCTGAGGAGACACCACCTTGGACTTACTCCTGGAGGCGGCTCGGGCCACGCGAGCAGAACTCAGCTTCACCTAAACATTGTACACAACTATTAATACCGAAAACATGATATTTGTATTAAAACTAAATCCCTTTAAAAAGTGCTTGTGTTCACTTAATGTTTTTATAATGATTATCAACATGTTTAAGAAATCAATGATAAACATTATTTTTTTTAATATTTAATGAATATTAACACTGGAAAGTGCATAATAGTATACAAACAATAATTCAGACTGACAAAATTAAAAGTTTGTCTTAAAGGAACACATTAAACTGACGTCTAAATTCAATTACACATCTTAGCACTTACGGAGATATATATTAAGCAGATGTAAGTGACATAAACAATGACAGATTCCTCCACAGAAAAATAACTTAACACAGACAAAATAACCCCCCCAAAAAAGCAGTGAACCCAAGGACTTGAGAGCAAGACACCACAACACACTGGACAGTGAACATGCAGAGCTACACAGTCGAGCCACACTGACGGTATACTACACCCGCCGGTGTTGACGTCCCACAAGACGTGGCCTCTGCTTTGCAATACAAGGCGGAGATGTTTCTGAAAAGGGGGACAAAGAAACAATTGCGCAGCGCGCCCCGCGCAGATGCGCGGGAAGTCTGGGGCCATAAATTCAGGGGCAAAGAGGGGCTCTGGAGCACCGCTCCTGTGCCGGGTAAGTCCACTACGGGCTCTCCATAGCCCGTGCTAATTGCCCCGCTCCTGTGCCAGGTAAGTTACGGGCTCACCATAGCCCGTGAAACTTTAAACTTGTTTCGGGTAGCTTTATCTATAACAACAGCAACAACAGGGGCTCTGCCTCACTCTGCCCGCCACCGTCGCTGCACTCGCAACTGCAGCGCTGCCTCAAATATATATAACAAAAATCCAGGTTATCACACACCAGATGTCTGAAGGTCATTAACGTGCCTAAAATGCAATGAAGCACACTTTAGAACTTGTATTGTCTTCCCTCCGACAGAGTAAAGTGAGTGCACACAATTGTACTTATAATTTTAAAGCCAATATACAAAGTATTAATGTCGAGGAGAGAGGTTGTATTAATCCCCCACACACTTGTATAGTTAATCTCATATGTCGTTATCTACTGGGAGCGAAATATGGATACAGTGCAAGGATTTCAGGTAATTTATCCATGGTAATAAGATAGGTTGCCATATCATACAGAGTGAACTTAGATTTATCTCTAAATGGCTCAATTTTATTTCAATCCAAGATATAGTGTTCGAGTGTGTGTCCCTGTCTTTGTCCACACACTTTACTTCATCTAGATCCCTATACAAGCCGAACTGCCAGAGATACTTGTAGCCAAGTCTTATACGAGCTGTGACAACATCTGTTAGTCTACTGACTTTGTTACTTGCCCCATACACATGTTTTGCTTCACACATTTCATTGTGATGAACAATGGACCTGCTAGTTCCAGTTTGCACAGTTCTACTTTCTTAAAATCCATCCAGGAATTCTCGTCTAATGCCACTTTTTAAGGGACCTATTTGATAACCCAAGATTCCGTTCAATACTGTCTTTATTTACTGCAGCCTTAGCAAGGGCGTCAACTTTGTCATGTTCCTGCAGGCCAATGTGAGAAGGAATCCACAACATTTTTATATTTACCCTCTTGCTAAGTATTCTTATATATCTACGTCACAAGCACGTTATTACTTGATTGCAAACTGTTTATTGCTCGTAGTGAGGAAAGGGAGTCGGAAATAATTAAGCTGTCTACTTCAGTGTTGTCAATAATTTCGAGTGTTACCAGTATTGCTACCAACTCGGCTTGCATTGTGGATGCCCAGTTACTAATTTGGATATTCCTTTGAATTGTGCTGCCATCGGGCTGATGAGCAATAACAGCACTTCCTGCCCTCCCTGTAGCTGTATTGAGTGATCCGTTAGTGTATATGGTCTGTGCTATGTTGTTTTCAGCTTGTATATTGTGAATGTGTTCTATGGTGCTGTGACGGTCGAGCCGGGCGGGGCCACCAGCCCGGGGAGAAGTCAGGAGGGTCAAAGGAGGAGCAAGGTCGGGGCTCAATGCAGCAGGGGCTACAGAGCCCGGTCTTCCAATACAGTCCGACTCGGGGGCTTGGTCGCCCACCCCACGAGCCTGAGAGGGTACAAGAGAGGGTATTCAATGATATAAATACGAAGAGAGACATTTTCATCCACGACACGAATGTGCCCCCATACCCACCATGGAGCCACAATTAGAGGCAGGACACCCACCAAGAAACTATAGCCGATCATGCCGGGGCCTCCTAAAGGTGCGTCGTGAGTATACGCCCCACAAACGCCACCTTAAGAAACCGACAGTCCGTCGAGATCGGGTTCAGTGACGAAAGGGGGATTGACAATAAAAGGTTTCCCTCGCTCGCGACGTCGGGTACAACAGTTCTACGGGTGCAAGAGTATGCCTCCTCAAGCACCCGGGCGTCAAAATAGAAGAAGTCCAAAGAAAGATCCAAAACAAGCAAAAGATCGGCAGGAAACGGCAAGCAGATAGGAGAAGAGGGGGGGGGGGAAACGAAACAGAAGGAAAAGGAAAAGGTGCTCAGCACAATTAGAGAGGACAGCAGCAGGAGCACAAGGCTATAGAAGGACAGAGGACTGTCCCAAGGAGCATCACACTCTGGCAGCCACCCACCAAGCCTCCCTCACGGCAACAACGAGCTGAACAGGGAGAGGGGACACCAGTACAGTGTACGCGACATAAACGTTCCTTCTATGAAGGACGTCCACTAGATATATTAAGATATCATTACCTGGTCAACTGTACAATGTTTCACCCTAAAACTCTATAAAACTTAATTTACCTGAGGCCACTATCTTTTTAGTGGCCTCGATGAGAACAGGAAGCCAGCGGCTTGTTAAAGGTCCCCCTCCCCCCACTATTTGTCCTGATGATTTTATTGAACTGGATTTACAATCTGCAGCAATGTTTCTTCATTTTTAATTATGGCTTCGGCGGTTAGACTGTTTCATGGGTTTATAATCCTGTGAGTGAAAAACCATCTTTGCTCCTTGTTTGTGTTACATCTGACCTTTCAAAGAATTGGTCTGGATCAACATCCTCCAAATTGTTCAGTATTTTATAAACGGAAAATCAGGAACATTTCAGTTAATTCTAATGAAAACACATTGATTTTTATCATTTGCATTCGAAACAACATTTTCAAATTAAGTCTCGGTGAGATATCAGCCGTGTCATGTGCGGTTTGTTGTTAGTCCTGTGGCCCTCGACCCTTTCTTGTATGAGTCGACTTAGTAGTGGCATGATTTCTGTTGCTCAGGGTTGAACTTTCTCCATAGCAGATATGTCCTGAAGGTGATGTCTCCATGTCTGGGGACAACATCACCAAACATGTCTGTATGTCAGGGGACAACATCACCAAACATGTCTCCATGTTTGGTCGGAGGCTGTGAAGGCCTGACAGTCAGTGTCACAGCAGGGTCAGCCTCTGCCTGTCAAGACGGCGACCTCAACCCCCCACAAACCATCAACACTCAGAAAGTGCTATAAATCTAGATTCTCTTGATCTCTGTTGACTAAATACACTAACTACTAACGAACATTTATGTTAATTGTTGCAATTTCTGGACAAAAGTTTATATTGAAATATAAAATTTAGTGCAACATGCAAAGCTGGACATGATAATGACAATTCTTGGGGGAATTGATTAGCCATTATTCGCTTGTGTAAAACAAGAAATATTTACAAGTAAACTATGGACATGCTCAATGCAGCATACATTAACATGATGTTGCTAAGTACACACACGGACGCACATAAACGAACACGCTACGTGCACACACGAACGTGCTGTTGCTACGTACACACATGAAACGTGCTGTTGCTACGTACACACACACACACACGAAAGTGGTGTTGCTACATACACATGTGAACGTGCTGTAATTATGTACACACACACGAACGTGCTATCTCTACACGAACACACACGCGGACCCTCCAAGCATCTGAACTGAAATGTTTCTCAGTGAATTACACACTACTCTTCATTTACTGATTTTGTCGAAATTAAAATCTCACAACACTAGCCTTTGAAAAAAAACAAACAAATAATTGCCCCAAAAGGAAACATTTGAGAACAGAAGTGGCATAGAGTCGCGCGAGTGACGGCGGTGATGTGACCTGTGGCGGCGGCTGTGGCGGAGGCGGGAAATTTTGGCTGAACTTTCGCTGTCTGATTAATGCTCTTCTGACCACCTGAATGGGGGGGATTTGGGATGGAGGGGGGTAGAGGAGAGAGTTGAGTACTTTGAATTCACATAATTATGGTAAAACATCAGTAAATAGGCTGAGATGTTACAGAGAATTATCAGCTGGTATTGTGTTTCAGACACTTTCATTCTCATTCCCTGCGATCATGTCTTCGATCATGTCTTCGTATCAATGAAATAAAATTTAAACATCTTACTTTTAAACAATAAATTAATTACCACTTACTTTGTCAATGCTAATGCAAACGTCTTGATTCCATACATTGTCAGTGTTGCATAATTCTGTCAACATGCCGTATTCTTAACTTTGAACCCTTTCAGTGCGCAAGCAAATCTAAATATATTCTATTTCTTTTAAGTTTCTTCTTTCTTAATGAGTTAAAATATGGAAGTTATTAAAAAGTAATTCCATGTGTTTCCTTTGATAAATCGTACAGAATTTTATATTAATTCTAATATAGATATCTGTTCCCAAAATTTGGATAAAATATTTAGCCCTTATTTTTACATTTTCTTTCTTATAGGATACAAAGAAAAACAGCATAACGAAATATGGCTCACTAAAGTAAAACACAAAAATTAGTCTCTAATATGAAATATTCGTTTCATAAATAATTTTCAGTGTGACGAAGCAACATGCTACAAAATTCTTATAATTATTTGTATACATAATAAAGTTTATTAGGTAATAACAGGCAGAGAAATACCAAATCTTAGTCATTATAGAGACTTATTTCCTCTTGTTGGAGACAGGAGACCTTTATGTTTATAGAGGTTACCCCTATGCCACGTTTAAGAACTTTCCCCAGGATGCAGACCACAATAGTGGCATAACTCCTAGGTATCTGTTTACTATTAGGTGAGCAGAGGCATCAGGTGAATGGAAGCATGCCCAACCGTCTCTGTCACTGCCTGGGAGATTGAACTCGGGACCCTTGGTTGTAAGCCGACGACACCGCTAGACTAATAGAAATAGCCTAAGCTACTCTATCCCTTTGAGATGCATTTCTTTCTTATCTCAATAAACATACTTGAACCGCTAGACTACTACGCTACAAGACCCCTATAAGCAGAACCCCCATTTCTCATATTTCTATGGTGCAAAATATCAATGGACGTAAGCCACACTGATCTCAAGTGAACCCTTTTACACCACATTTTAAGCCGTTGCATAACTATAGCTATGCCACCTTTTGTAAAATTATATATGTAGCAGTATTCCTGCAAGGTGCTTGCCCTACGGGGCTCCTAGCCACACCACTCCACGCTGCTGCTGCTGCTGCTACCGTTACTGCCAAACAACTGTGACTGCCACGGCTGGTCACTGTTGCTAGTGCTGCAGTTTAATATTAATTATTCAACTTGTGCCATCGACAACGGCTCTCTGGTAATTGCTCTCTCATGCTTTGTAAACCCAGAGAATCAAACGCATTCAGACTTGCACACTGTTGCCACCAACGTTCACCAGCACCAGTGTTACAACAATCACCCACTTACACCACCAGCACCCCAGTTATAACCACAACAATCATCCCAGACATTAACGTGATGAGAAGACAATAACTGGATTACTGTTAACACCTCCAATGTGATCTGTGTAGTTGGCTACGACCTCCTAGCCCCGCTTGAGGCTCCTGTACCACATCCCTAGCCTTCCCCCGTCTCCTATGCCATCCTCCTAGCCTTTCTCCCGGCTCCTGTGCCATCCTCCTAGCCTCCCACGCCTCACGTACCATCCCCATGCCCCTCCCCGCTGGGCTCCACACTCACCATGATGAAGACGAAGGTGTAGAGGATAAAGATGAGCAGGACAGGTATGACGGCCTCCACGACGATGTAGAAGTAGCGAGCCTTGATGCTGCCTTTGGTCATGTCGCACTCCATCGTGTCCTCGTTGAACCCGTACTCGCCCACCAGCTGTGGAGACCAGACAGTGTCAACCATTACCACTCACACCCCCCCCCCCCCCTCACACTGTGTACAGCCCTGGAGCACGACGATGGGCTCGAAACCTGCGTCCTCTGGAAGGGATTCACCCCAAGACGCACGCCTAATTCGTCCTGCTTCGAAGATTATATCATAGATATATATCATGTGATCGTGTTTTCACTGTCTACATAACTCATTCTTCTGGTGCTTGCACATCTTCACCTCACTGTCACCAAATATTAATATTTTTTATATACAACATGAAATCTGAAAAATATTCGCAAATCACTAAACTAATCGAATAAATTTCCAGTAGGCAGAGGATGGCAGCGAAATCTATGCATACCAATGAGATTCAAGTGATACTAAACACGACTCGGTCGTCTGGTGCTGACGACTGTGCAACACTGTGCAACACTGTGCAACACTGTGCAAGTGCTCATCAACCTTTCTTGTCGCCTCCTGAGTGCCAGCACTCGACGCTGTGCTCACCTGACCTCAACGCTACAGTACAATATAAACCTTCTTAGATGTAAATAACAAAACACCAAGCGATACAAATCATATTCTATATATTGTGCTAGAAATATCTCTAGCACTATCACGGTCTCGCACTCGTGGGGTCCAGGGTTCGAGACCCACACAGTCTAGGTGAATGGAATGTTTATTTCCACGGAAGTGTGGATGACACTTCCCCTCACTTCCGTGTAAGGGTGCAATTTATTGTTATAAGAGAGACTTCCTTTATGCGCTAGTAAACTCATCAGTATTTTCATGCACTTGGCGGCCAATTTGGAATGAAATCTACAGGGCACTGGACTCTTGATAGCTTTATTAATGATTTTGTTAGATTTGTGTCCAGCTTCAGATACACGCAGTGTACAACTGTGGCCTTGGAAGTGGAATTCACCCTCTGGGGTCTTTGACAAGGTGACAACGACCCCAGAAGCTGCAATGTGACAAAGATCCCAGAGGTTGTAAGATGACAAGGACCCCAGAAGCTGTAAGGTAACATAGACCCCAGAAGCTGTAAGGTGACATAGACCCCTGAAGCTGTAAGGTGACATAGACCCCATAATCTGTAAGGTGACATAGACCCCTGAAGCTGTAAGGTGACATAGACCCCATAATCTGTAAGGTGACATAGACCCCTGAAGCTGTAAGGTGACATAGACCCCATAATCTGTAAGGTGACATAGATCCCTGAAGCTGTAAGGTGACATAGACTCCAGAGAGTGCAAGGTAACATACGACGAGGGAGTGACTTACCCCGAGTGCAGGAGGGAGCTTGAGGAAAAGGGAGTACATCCAGATGCCGGCGATGTAGCAGCCCATGATGGTGGGTCGGTTGATGGCCGTGTACAGCTTGGGCACGCTCACAGCCAGCGCCCTGCCGGCGGACACACACACACGCTCAACACATATATACACAAACTTTATACATGCCCCCCCCAACACACACCCTCATGTGATATTAGTATCAAAATACTGGAGGGAAGAGATCAGATATTCTTAAACAAGGCTGGTTAATGTAGTATATTCCTCTAGTTGTCGCAGCAGCGAGACGCGCAGATTTATTTTGTAACTTTTACCCTCGAAGGAGGAGCTTATTGGGCAGCGACGGGCACTCTGTGAGTGAACATGCCGCCATAGCAGCCCCAATAGGATGAACACCCGCTGGGTTGTTCAGAAGCACTAATGCTGTATCAGTTGACCAGACCACACACTAGAAGTTAAAGGGACGACGACGTTTCGGTCCGTCTTGGACCATTCTCAAGTCGATTGTATCAGTTCCTAAACTCACATCTCATCTCTACCCGCTAACTTTCACCCTAGAAAAGCTTAACATTAATCTTTGATTAGTTACTTGAAGCATCAAACTATATTCTAAATCACCTTGAGGAACCTGATTAAATAAACAGCTCCCACTATGGATCACCTACACCCCGGGCCAGCTTCACACTATAGCACAACCCGTCCTCACACCAAGTTCATTCTATCCAGCGGGCGACCTCAAAGATGCATTAATCAATTTTAACATGCTGTTCATTCAAAATAGGATTTTTCTCAAATATAAATTAATATTATTATATATCAGCATATTGTACATTTATAGGCACTGGTTAGGTTAGGTGTTTAGGTTCTGTTGGCGATTATTTGCATTTGTAGTACGTGGGTGAAGCATTTATAGCGTTGTGATTCGAACAAAATTCGTCAGTGAAGCACTTGTTCCGGATATGTTCGAACGTCAGCAGTTGTGAGTCGTGTGTAAACCGCTTTTCATTCATAAACAGAGGGTTTGGCGGGTGCATGGAATCACTTTTGGATCTTTGTTTGGAGGACGGGCTGGCTGCTGCACAACTGATAAAGTTCGAACAGTGCTTCGTCGACCACCGCTGTTCGAACCGCAACTCTGTAAATGCTTCACCCGCGTACTACAAACACAAACCATCACCAACACAACTTGAAGACCTAACCTAACCTATGTCTAACTGCACATAGAACTTTACTATATAATAATATTAATTTATATATGAAAACGAACGTATTTTTAACACAATATGTTAAGATTGATGAATGCGTCTTGGGGGAGGGGGTGGGTGGGTGGGGCGGTGCATTAATGAGCCTGGCCTGAGGACGGAGTGATATATGGCACCTGTTCTCTCATGCAAGTGTCAATTATGCAATATAAAATTATAATGATCACCTGATATCTTGTTATTATGACTCTCTTAAGTAAATAATATGCTGTAATTTTGTGTAAATTTACTCATTTACAGATGAACAACCATTTATGAATAAAATTACCAGATTAACCCCCTTCCCCTCATTAAACACATTCCCCCTCACATAAATCACCCCTATTAAACACCCCTCCCCCCAGCTTACCCCTCTCCCCCAAACATACCCCCCTATAAGTGAGGCTAATCATGGCCCGTGCTACTTGCCCCGCTCCTGTGCCAGGTAAGTCCACTACGGGCTCACCATAGCCCGTGCTACTTGCCCCGCTCCTGTGCCAGGTAAGTCCACTACGGGCTCACCATAGCCCGTGCTACTTCCCCCGCTCCTGTGCCAGGTAAGTCCACTACGGGCTCACCATAGCCCGTGCTACTTGCCCCGCTCCTGTGCCAGGTAAGTCCACTACGGGCTCACCATAGCCCGTGCTACTTGGAACTTATGTTCCGAGTAGCTGAATCTAAAACAACAACAACAACATACCCCCCTATAAACCTGTGGGGGGACTGACCTGGTGAACGCTATAGCCAAGATGGTCTGGAGCTCCACCTGGGTGAGCGTGTACCTGACGGAGGTGAAGAACACACAGTCACGGTTAGTGAGGAGAGAGTCGTTCGTCTGCTGGAGGTACAGGTACTGGGCGCCCGACATGGGCAGGATGAACACGCAGAAGAGCAGCTCCACCACCGCCAGGTTCACCACGAAGGCCGTGGCCGTCGTCCGCAGCTTCTTGCTCAGGGGTAAGGCGATGATGGTCAGCAGGTTACCTGTGGGGTGTGGCAGAGACGGTATGAGGAGCGGGGAGTGAGTGTGTGTGTGTGTGTGTGTGTGTGGGAGTGTGTGTTTGTGTGGGAGGGGGGGGGAAGTGTGTGTGTGTGTGTGTGTGTGTGTGTGTGTGTGTGTGTGTGTGTGTGTGTGTGTGTGTGTGTGTGTGTGTGTGTGTGTGTGTGTGTGTGGGAGGGAGTGTGTGTGTGTTTGTGTGGGAGGGGGGGGGGGAAGTGTGTGTGTGTAGTGGGCGGGGAGAGTGTGTGTGGGGGGGGGGGGGACGGAGGGTATATGAGGGGGTGAGTAACATGACCAGGTGTGATCAATAATTGATCATCACGACCTCCCTGACACTCACTCGAGGGCGTCAACACACGCCCTCATCAACCCCCCCACACCTCACAATAACGTGCATGGAGTCCTGGATGTCTGGGTTCGATTCCTTCAGGGGTGAGGTGTTTTCGTTTTTATAATTATATATATATATATATATATATATATATATATATATATATATATATATATATATATATATATATATATATATATATATATATATATATATATAGTTATCAACAATTGTATAACTAGCTTCACAAGCTTGTCACTTGCTTAGCTAAACAAACTATGGGGTTGAGTCCCTGAGCCCATTATGTGCCTCTGTAACCCTTTTCACCACCGCCCACGGGATGGGTATTGGGTGCATAATAAAGAAATGAAATGAATGAAATGTGAGTTTTGTAGGTGGGGCTCCCAGGTGAGGTAACACAGAGTATGGTGGGGCTCCCAGGTGAGGTAACACAGAGTATGGTGGGGCTCCCAGGTGAGGTAACACAGAGTATGGTGGGGCTCCCAGGTGAGGCAACACAGAGTATGGTGGGGCTCCCAGGTGAAGTAACACAGAGTATGGTGGGGCTCCCAGGTGAGGCAACACAGAGTATGGTGGGGCTCCCAGGTGAGGTAACACAGAGTATGGTGGGGCTCCCAGGTGAAGTAACACAGAGAGTGTGAGGTGCAGGGCAGAGGGAGGGAGAGGGGAGGGAGGGAGAAGCAACAGAGAGAGAGAGAGAGGGAGGGAAGAACAACGTAGAGAGAAGGAGGGAAGAAACTCACCAAAGGTGCCGAGGATGGAGATAATGAAGGCGCTGGCAGCAGTGAAGCCCAGCATATTGTACGGGTACTTGGGGGTACTGTGCCCACCACCCGCCTGGCCGCCCTCGATGGTGGTGTCCTCCCAGGGCGTGGAGGTGGTGGAGGCCAGGGCGGCCACGGCAGCCGTCAGGTTGGTCAGGACGGCCATGTCCGTCAGGCCGCTGCCGGACACCCGGGTCGAGGAGATGGCAGATTCGAGGCTGGAGGCCGTGTAGCTGGCGACGCCCTCGGGGTCGAGGGCCATGGAGGTGGATGTGAAGTCCATCCTGCCGGGTCAGCACGCCCGCGCGCCCGCACCAACGATCTGTGAAGACAAGAGCACCTGGTGAGGTCTCCACAGACACATTATATAATATTAATAAAAACAAAGAAGCATTTAGATATTGACATCATAACACACCGGTCACCAGAGGTCCTGGTGACCTCTGGGAGTAACCTCGACGTCTCCCACCTTCAAACTCACCGCAAACACAAAGCTCCGTCCACGTTCCTACATAAAATTATAACTCAAAATAGTCTAGGAGAGAAAAGCGGTTGTCCTGACCATAGAGTACTTCAAGCAGTTTTCAAATTGAGGCGGACAGAAGACCGCTGACCACCTGTACGTCAGTTACTCACAGTGCAATGTCAGCCTAGGCCTCCTCTCTCTCAGTAAATCTCCCTCTTGCTGTTCAGACCACGCTAGCTTAGCTTATATCTAACCCAAGGTCGCAAGGCACAAGGCAGGAACAATAATAAACACAAAGATGTTTATACATACTCTTCAAATATCATATATCCATAATAATTCCCCTGCAACTCTTGTCAATATCATCAATATATGTGTGTATATATATATATATATATATATATATATATATATATATATATATATATATATATATATATATATCGTACCTTGTAGCCAGAACTCACTTCTCAGCCTATTATGCAAGGCCCGATTTGCCTAATAAGCCAAGTTTTCATGAATTAATTATTTTTCGACTACCTAACCTACCTAACCTAACCTAACCTACCTTTTTGGGCTACCTAACCAAACCTAACCTATAAAGATAGGTTAGGTTAGGTTAGGTAGGGTTGGTTAGGTTCGGTCATATATCTATGTTAATTTTAACTCCAATAAAAAAAAATTGACCTCATACATAATGAAATGGGTAGCTTTATCATTTCATAAGAAAAAAATTAGAAAAAATATATTAATTCAGGAAAACTTGGCTTATTAGGCAAATCGGGCCATGCATAGTAGGCCAAAAAGTGAGTTCTGGCTACTAGGTACGACATATATATATATATATATATACACGCGACTAAATAATTATATTACAATGCAAATTCTAAGCACACATGAATGACTCACACAAATATTAGTACTGCCGTAAGCATTATAATATCCGCGTATCGTAGCCTATCGTGAATAACTGGCCTCATCAGCACTGTAAGCATCACATAATAGAAAGGACATAACATAGATCAAGTTTAAACATATCAACACATGTATATTCCACAGAGAATCCTGCAGCCTAGTGTTCCTTTCAGCACACTTTCGCTCCTGAAAAAATCGATTAAGCCTCTGGACACGTACATACGTGCATGACCTGGGACCGACAATCCCCTCGTGATAACAGGTGATATAAAAAAAATCTCCCGATAATATCCCCAGTAGCCTGTGGGCTCCGGGCTACGTAGTCTTCTGGTTACTTAACATTAGAATATAGTCATGTAAGATCTCCGTGGACTCGCCTTTTCGAGACCTGTTCAGCGAGGTTCCCGGAAGGCAACTCCCATGAAGGACAAATCCAGTATCAAGTAAAATCGTCCGGTTGGGACTTTTATGTGTTTTCTCGCGGGTCGGGCGAGGCCCAGCAACTCCTGCGCTCTGAGATACTTGCTAGGCTACGCTCGCGCACCACAGGTCTCTTCTGGTAGTCCGTTGGTCAGTGATACAATATCGTATATATATAATTTATCTTCTCACTCAGTCCACTCGACAAATTCACCTGTATGGTTATATATAACTACTTAAGTGTCACTTGATCCACTTCCCAGGGGCGTCTTCCCACCACACACACGCCCTCCAGGTCCCGCCTCACAGACCCAAAACTTGGGAACCTCACTACGGGTCGGGGCTACAAATCTCGGCCTCTTTTGTACCACTCCAAAGTATCATTTAAGGGAGATCCCTCTCAACCACTCTGAATATATATATGTAAACCTTTTCTTGGTAGCGCTGCCGTACCAGCCGCTCTCTCGATATTTCTTAGTCCCGCGGCAACCACTTTAGTTTCATCATAAAGGCACTGCAGTTCCCCCTTACCTTACGGTCCCTGTAGGCGTACCTCCTCAGTGCGTCCCACCAGCCACTGTCTACTGGCTGAAGTTCTGAGTGTACTTTAGATACACACGACGGCTTTCGTGGGTCAGTCAACATGTCACTGCGTCCAGACACTCCCCACAGCACATCTTTCTTCTTCAAACACGGCGAATCCGCAATTTGTCAAGAGCAGCTACTAATTTCGTTTTCCTAAATCTTCCCGCCTTGACGTAAATATGGTTCAGTCCGTTTCACGGGTTCATAATCGCAGGAACGAGCTCGGGCAACTGGACAGGCCACAACAAAGTCTCTCTCTTGCATTTCGGAGGTGAAGGGGCGGTTTTCCCGCCGGCGTGACGTCACCGTCTTCCAAGATGGTGATTGGTCCAGCCTATCTCTACACTTCGTTTTGAAATCTACTGGCCCACCGGTCTCCTGGAATTGTCCACTTCTCTCAGTAGTAACACTAATCATTCCCAACATTATTCATCACCTCTGTTTCCACAGTTGATCTATCTCCTAGTAGGATACATGTGCCCTCCGTCGTGGAGGGCATGTCCGGCACGCCTTTCATGATGGAGCCTAGGCTACGGTGGCTCATATCACGACAACACACACAGGAAGCCGAGCAGGCGATAGCAGCCAAGGAAAAGCTGCTTGAAATGCACCTCACGTCGCTGGAAAACTGGAGGGCTCGGGCAGACATGATCACTAATTACAAAATTCTCGGAGGAATTGACAGGGTAGATAAAGATAAACTGTTTAACACGGTGAGGGGGGGGGGGGGGTTTACGCGAACAAGGGGACACAGGTGAAAACTGAGTACCCAGATGAGCCACAGGGACGTTAGAAAGAACTTTTTCAGTGTCAGAGTAATTAACAGGTGGAATGCATTAGGCAGTGATGTGGTGGAGGCTGACTCCATACACAGTTTCAAGTGTAGATATGATAGAGCCCAGTAGGCTCAGGAACCTGTACACCAGTTGATTGACGGTTGAGAGGCGGGACCAAATAGCCAGAGCTCAGCCCCCGCAAGCACAACTAGGTGAGTACACACACACACACACACACACACACACACACTCATCTCTCTCAAGCCTACACAATGATGACTAACTATTCATTTATAATATATTCACGAACTCAAAAGTTTGGCCAAATTTACAATGGTCTGGAGTCTTGCTCTCCAGAAGTGGCCACACAACTCATTCATTACCAGTGGAGGCCGAGAGTTTCACCAGTGGAGGCCGAGAGAGTCAGAGAGAGAGAGATAGACACTGGGAGAGAAGAGAAACAAAGAGAGAGAGAGAGAGGAGAGAGAGAGAGAGAGAGAGAGAGAGAGAGAGAGAGAGAGAGAGAGAGAGAGAGAGAGACGCTCCAGCACACACGTCATGGCTACAGGATGCAGCGAGGAATAGCGGATTTTATGTTATCATGTTTGTCAAGTGTGGGCCGAGGGCCGAGGACCCTCGGCCTCGCCCCCTCGGCCAATGCTAAGCTGAACGTAGGTAAACGCTCCAGGCCCAACAGGTTCAGTTCTATTTACTCATTATTATTTCAGACGTGTCGCAATATGCTGCTGGAATAAAAGCCTCACTTAAAAAAAAAAGCATTAAAAAGCGGGAAATATAATTGGGTATTTGGGTCAACTATTCCTCGGACTGTCCAATTATATATGTCCTCTGTAACTCCAAGCGTGCGGGGGTTTTCCAACCATGGTATATTCACATGCATATATGTCAGCATATGTATAAGCAGGTATATCAATATATATGTAGGTACACATATGTACTAGGTACACATGTATGCACATATGTAAGTGTAGATAACCCATCCTCCTCTTTAGATAGTACTTTTTGTACTGTGCACCATAGTACAAATATTGACGTACTAGGCAATTAGATAGTAGCATTTTGTACTATTCACTTTACAGTCCGAAAAAATGAAGCTAAAAACCCAACTTAAATATTCCCAGGCCTAGTATAGCGCACACATGAACTATATTTAGGCCTCAGGGGTGTATAAGGCCTAGGAAGGTCAGGTTAGGTTAGTATGACTTTGCAACATAAGTAGAAAATAGTTTTCCGGTTTGATCAAATTCAATAGTGCTATTCAATTTCTACTTTCTAATTGCGTTGTATGTCGGTATATGTACTATGGTCCTTATCGTTAGTATGGTCCTTATCGTTAGTATGGTCCTTATCGTTAGTATGGTCCTTATCGTTAGTGTAAGTGCTACCAAGACAAGAGGACGGGCTGGTATATCTACATAACCTAACCTCATACTATCTGTCCACAGTATGAGGCCAGACACAAAGCCTCACCCAACTTTGCAAGATGAAACTTGAGGGGTGTGTGAGTGTCACAGGCCAGTCGGGGTCGGCCCCAGTGTCAAACTAAAGAGATATTGGCACCTGTAGCGAGTTTTCTCGCTGGTTTTCTTAAAAAGTCTGATATCGAGGATTTGATTTCCTTAGAGTTTCAGCCGTTGTCACGTCTTCGAAATATTACATTTGGCGAGAGAGTGAAATAGAGGGGTAAAGGGGTGGGGGGGGGGGAGAGACCTGGGCACTGCTTGGTACACTATCCTGTACATGTGTGTATGTGTATATATGTGAGCATATATATTACATATATTAATATATTATTACACAAACTAAATTTTTTCACTCCCGTCAAAGAAATTCTTCCGAATACTTTATAACAAACGATTAAAAGGTTTCCCGTAAGCTAATTACCTCAGATATAAAACACAGAAACCAAACGAGCATTTAATTAGTCAATTAGCAATTCATTAAGGTCTTTTGTGGCAAATAAAAAACGTTAAATTAAATTTTGGTCTAAAAGAGTAAGCCATTTTTGTTACTATAACGACGATTCTAATTAATCATTCTTTACCACAAAATAACAGCTGCCAGCTGAATGATAATATAATTACCATAACTGGTGAAACAGAAACATCGAACATCTGTCACACTTGAATTTCAAATTCAAAAGTTGCCACCAACGGACACGACAGTTACCGGGAGTGTCGTTAACTGTTGCAGTCACTCGCGGATATTGGAACAGTTTCTTAGATTAAGGACCTGCCCGAAACGCTGCGCGTACTAGTGGCTTTACAAGAATGTATTGAAATTGAAATTGAAATTGAAATTGAAATAAGTTTATTGAGGTAAAATACACACAAAGGGATGAGGTAGCTCAAGCTATTCTCACCCCGTTCAGTACATCGTGTTAATACATACATAGACACACATCACAAACAATAAACATATTACCAAACATTCTGAGAGATAAACATATACATTTCCTACAAGAATGTAATTACTATGCTATGTATCCTCACAATCCCAATGTACCTTCTTGTATATATATAAATAAATAAATACATAAATCAAAAACATATTATCATAGGCTTGCCATAGTGTGATAGTGCAGGCTATAGTGACCTGGCCTCTCATGTATGATCAACCAGCCTGTGAGGCGGGCATACTAGGGACTAATGCCTCACTGACACTACCATAGCAACACAATGCTGCCTACCTGACCTTGTTGTTGTTGTTGTTAAAGATTCGCTACCTGGAACAAAGTTCCAAGTAGCACGGACTATGGTGAGCCCGTAGTGCCTTTAAGACCTTGTTAATAACAATATATTTATGGGAGACGAAAGACTACATACAGGGGGGGGGGGGTCTCGGTAGCTGAGTGGCTATACGTTCTCGACTCACAATTGAGGATCCCTGGTTCGATTTTCAGAGCGGGACAGAAATGGTTGGGCATCTATTCTTTCACCTTATGGCTCTGTTCACCTAGTAGTAAATAGGTACCCAGGAGTTGGGCAACTGTTGTGGGGTTGCATCGTTGGGGGGGGGGGAGGTTATCTTGAGATGATTTCGGGGCTTAGCGTCCCCGAGGCCCGGTCCTCGACCAGGCCTCCTTTTTGTTGCACACCTCCAGGAAACAGCCCGTAGCAGCTGTCTAACTCCCAGGTACCTATTTGCTGCTAGGTGAACAGGTGCATCAGAGTGAAAGAAACTCTGCCCATTTGTTTCCGCCTTCACCGGTGATCGAACTCGGAACCTCAGGACTACGAATCCCAAGCACTGTCCACTCAGCTATCAGGCCCCATCTGTAGATCAGCAGCAGATCAGGAGTCGACCCGTCATATAGAGATCTCAGTGATCTATGGCTTGCCATATGAAGCCATAGATCACTAAGAACTCTAAATGACCCGACCAGGATTCGAACCTCATGACGTCTAGGATCACCCGCAAACGTACACAGTACCGTGATCACCGCACCAACTGATCATAGACGATCAATATTATACACACACACACACACACACACACACACACACACACACACACACACACACACACACACACACACACACACACACACACACACACACACACACACACACAATCGTGCCTATCGTGCCTAACAAACCTGGAATTCTATGATAAAATAACGAGGATAAGACAGGACAGAGATGGTTGGGCAGACTGCATATTTCTGGACTGCCAAAAAGCCTTTGATACAGTACTGCACATGAGACTGCTGTTCAAGCTCGAGAGGCAGGCGGGGGTGGGGGGAAAGGTCCTAGCATGGATAAGGAACTACCTAACAGGAAGGAGCCAAAGAGTTACGGTAAGGGGCGAGAAGTCGGACTGGCGAACAGTAACAAGTGGAGTACCACAAGGATCGGTGCTGGGACCAATTCTATTTCTTGTATATGTTAACGACATGTGTACAGGCGTAGAGTCCTACATGTCGATGTTTGCGGATGACGCAAAGTTGATGAGAAGAGTTGTGACAGATGAGGATTGCAGGATCCTCCAAGAGGACCTGAACAAGTTGCAGAGATGGTCAGAGAAATGGCTACTGGAATTCAACACGAGCAAATGTAAAGTTATGGAAATGGGACTAGGAGATAGGAGACCAAAGGGACAGTACACAATGAAGGGGAACAGCCTACCTGTAACGACGCGTGAAAGAGACCTGGGGGTGGACATAACACCTAATCTATCTCCTGAGGCACATATAAATAGGATAACGACAGCAGCGTACTCTACACTGGCAAAAGTTAGAACATCATTCAGAAACCTAAGTAAGGAGGCATTTAGGGCGCTTTACACTGCCTACGTGAGGCCAGTCTTAGAGTATGCCGCCTCATCATGGAGTCCCCATCTGAAGAAGCATATAATGAAACTGGAAAAGGTTCAGAGGTTTGCAACGAGACTCGTCCCAGAGCTACGAGGGATGGGGCATGAGGAGCGCCTGAGGGAACTGTGCCTTACGACACTAGAAAGAAGAAGGGAGAGGGGGGACATGATAGGAACGTATAAGATACTCAGAGGGATTGACAGAGTGGACAAAGACGAAATGTTCACACGGAATAGTAACAGAACGAGGGGACATGGGTGGAAGCTTGAAACTCAGATGAGTATCAGAGATGTTAGGAAGTTTTCTTTTAGTGTGAGAGTTGTGGGAAAATGGAATGCACTTCAG